GAGTGTGTGGAGTAAGCTTGGATTCCTGGGCTCCAAGCCAACACTGTCTGTCCATGCCCTCCTGTGGACACAGGATGGCCCCTGGGTCTTGGGGACGTGGTGCCTGCAGCTGTCGCTAGGTGGACATGAAGCCCCCCTCTGCCCCAGAGGTAGAACGAGAAGGGAAATGAGCTCATGGCGTGAAAATGCTCCGCACGTTAGAGAATGGAGCTGAGAACCCAATCCCAGGAGAATGGCAGTGGCCTCTGTATAGCCCAGAACCTAGGGCCGCTGCCTTCACCGCAGCCCTGGGGCCACGGCCCTTCACCACCGCATCTCCCGGCTTCACAGCAGCACCCAGGCTACCTCGCCCCTGTGAGGGGCGTCAGCCATGGGACCACCCAGTGTCAGCCCCTCTGGTCCTTTTGCTTGGAGCCCCGAGGGCTTCTCATGGACAGGGCTCATGCCCAGGAGGAGGCCAGCCCTCCAGGCCCACACAGCTTCCTGTGGTGCCGTTGCATCCGGGTCTCGTAGCGCCGGTCTCTATCTGTGCAGTGACAATCCCTGTGAGTTGAGATCTCGGGTCGCGTCCCTGTGGGGACTGAGTGCAGTTAGGACAAAGGGGTTCACTTGGCAGTGACAGCTATGAAGGCATTGAGCACTCAGAAGTGAGCCATTCTGGGGGGATCCCCAGAAGCTAGGGGCTCCCACCTGGAGTAGCTTAGAAATCTCCCTTGAAGACCCGGATTTGGCTGCTCAGAGCCCAGGCAGGAGGCAGAACTGTGCAAGGGGCCGTGGCAAAGCTGGCAATGCCATAGTCCCTGTCCGGTGGAGTGCTCTAAGGCACAGATTGTTGGGGGGGGGGGCGGCTGTCCTTGCACTGCTGCCTTGCTTGGTCACTGGCCACAGGGAGGCCCGGAGGAGAGCGTGATCCCAGCTGCAGGGGCCGAGAGCTGGAGCCGTCTGCTGACCCTGTCCTGGCAGCCGTGGAGCAAGACTACCTGTAAGGGTGGCCTTGGAGCCGGCTGTGCAGACACAGCGTGGACCAGCGCCCAGCCCGGGGGAACTCCTCTCTTTTGCTTTGGGGCCAGATACAGCTGGGCTCAGATTCCAGCTTTGTGACTCGGCGCGTGAGCCGGCACAAATGTCACCAGGAAGCACCTTTCTATGGTTTCATTCACTCACTAACCTGACCTGTGACTCAGGGATAATAAGGGCGCATGTTCATTTCCCAGAAGCTCGGTTTTCTCACGCGTGAGCTGGGGGTAGCGAGCCGCACCTGCCAGGGCTGTGGGGCACATGCACGGCCAGGCACTGTGCTCACAGTGTTTTTATTCAAGATTTAATAAACCCAACGAAGTAACCAACTTCCTGCCCTTTCTCAGTGTTAGTGTCTTCAGGCTGACAGGCTGAGTGGCACGAGGGTCCCTGAAGGCATACCTCAGATAGAAGTAAACAATTTAGGGTCCCCTCAAAACTGGAAGCTCCCCTTTGGGGTACTTACAAATTTCCTGGGGGCTGGCACTGTGGTGTAGTAGGCTAAGCCTCTGCCGGTGGCGCCAGTATCCTATATGGGCACCAGTTCGAGTCCCGGCTGCTCCACTTCCAATCCAGCTCCCTGCTAATATGCCTGGGAAAGCAGCAGAAGATGGCCCAAGTGCTTGGGTCCCTGCACCCACATGGGAGACCTGGAAGAAGCTAGGGGCTCCTGGCTTCAGATCAGCCCAGCTCTGGCTGTTGCAGCTATTTGGGGAGTGAACCAGTAGATAGGAGATCTCTCTCTCTGTCTCTCTCCTCTTCTCTCTGTCTGTAACTCTGCCTCTCAAATAAATAAATAAAATCTTAAAAAAAAAAAAAGAATTGGATTGGATATCTTGTCAACCTGACACGGATAGCTCTCACGTTCTAATGCAAGCCAGGCCAGAGGCACAAAGTGTGTTCAGAGGCTGCTGTGGAGCCAAGCATCCACGAGGGGTTTGGGATACCTGGGCTTGAACCCAGCTTTGCCACCCAAGGCAAATCGTGGCCTCATCGAGGCCTGTTTTCCTCATCTGTGAAATGGAAACACTACCACTCACTCAAAGGTTATGAGGCTGAAATGAGGGAGTAGATGCTGAAGTGCTGGGCAAATGTTAAGACACCTGGCCCCTAACTGCGTCCCGACATCAGCCACGGAGGGAGACACGCGGAGGGAGCCACGGGGGAAGGCGGGGCACGGACGTGAATGTCCATCTTTCCTAGGTCCCCTTTTTTAATTTTTCTTTTCTTTTATTTTTTATTTATTTTTTAAAAAGATTTATTTATTTATTTGAAAGTCAGAGTTACACAGAGAAAGAAGGAGAGGCAGAGAGAGAAAAAGAGGTTTCCATCTCTGGTTCACTCCCCAGATGGCCACAACGGCCAGAGCTGCACCGATCTGAAGCCAGGAGCCAGGAGCTTCTTCTAGGTCTCCCACGTGGGTGCAGGGGCCCAAGCTTTCCCAGGCCATAGCAGAGAGCTGGATTGGAAGTGGAGCAGCCAGGTCTCAAATGGATGCCCATATGGGATGCCAGCACCGCAGGAGGCTGCTTCACCTGCTATGCCACAGCCCAGGCACCTCTTTTTTCTTTATTTTTAAAAATTTATCTGAGCGAGAGAGAGAGACAGACAGACAGACACACAGGCAGAAGGAGAGAGAGATCTCATCCACTGGTTCACTCTCCAAACGCCTACAACAGCAGGAGCTGGGCCAGGCCAAAGTCAGGAGCCAAGAATTCAATCTGGTCTCCCATATGGGTGGCCGGGACCCAAGTACAGGAGCCATCACCTGCTGCCTCCCAGGGTGTGCATTAGCAGGAAGCTGGAATTGAGAGTGGAGCTGGGGCTTAAACCCAGGCACTCAGGTAGGATGTGAGTGCAGGCCGGGACTTTAACCTCTGCGCCACAGCACCAGCCCCGATGTCCAACTCTTGCTTTGGCAAACCTGAGATGTTTTAGTCTCCTCAGTAGAAGGGAAACTGTGGTCCAGAGAAAGTCATTAAACAAACATGCATGCCAAGTCTGTAGGGAGATCCAATGAGCAAGAACACAGAAAAAGGACCAAGAAGGCCAAGTTGGGCCTTGATGTCCATGCAGGCTCCTCCGTCCAGGTTCTCGCTGCCCCAGACTTTACCTGCACAATGTTCCTGCTTCCAGGGAAGGATGGGATCCACTGGTCCACACAGAGGCGGAGGGACTCATGTGGATGCCGTGTCCCTTCTCTACGGCATCTGTGTTCTAGCACTGGTGTCCTGCCATTGGGCTTGGGCCATAAGCGGACTTCTCGCTTCAGAAGGCAAGTGGTCCACAGCGTGGTAGGGCCCTCGGTCTTCTGAGATGACGCCCCTGTGCCGGCCCCGTGCCTTCCTGGGCCGGCCCCGTGCCTTCCTGGGCAAGGCTGGCTGCTGGGGACATGGACACGCTGCCTCCTCGTCCTGGACTCTGCAGTGCCCGGATCTTGAGCTCACCTCACAGGGAATGGAGTGTGCAGTATCAGACGCAGGGATCCACTCTGGCCAGGCCGTGGGAAGTCACCCTTGCTTTCTCTGTGCAGCACACCACGCACCCTCCCTCACCTTAGGGACCCCGCCTGGCACCCCACCGTGTGCTGGCTCTTTCCCTTCTTGTTTGTGCCTGTGCGTCCCAGCAGGCCAAATGGTTTGTCATGAGGCCTGAGGTCTCTAAAAACATCCTCCACTTCCTCCTAGGTTGCTGTTATTCCCACACTCCCCCCTTTTTAATGTTTTAAAATTTATTACAGAGAGTGGGGGGTGGGGAGAGAGAGAAACACCTAGCTACTGTTTCACTCCTCAAATGCCCAAAGCACTGTAGGGGCAGGAGCCAGGGACTCGGTTCAGATCTGGAACATGGGTGTTAGAAACCCAATCGGGTGTAGGTGCTGTGGCATAGCGGGTAAAGCCACCGCCTGCAGTGCTGGCATCCCATAAGGGTGCCAGTTCAAGTCCTGGTTTCTCTACTTCCAATCTAGCTCTCTGCTATGGCCTGGGAAAGCAGTAGAGGATGGCCCAAGTCCTTGGGCCCCTGCACCCATGTGGGAGACCCAGAAGAAGCTCTTGGCTCCTGCCTTTGGATTGGCACAGCTCTGGCTGTCGTAGCCATCTGGGGAGTGAACCAGTGGATGGAAGACCTCTCTCTCTGTGTGTCTCTCTTTTTCTCCTCTGACTCCAAGAGGACTCCCTGAGTCCTCTGCCTTTCAAATAAATAAATAAATCTTAAAAAAAAAAAAAAAAAAGGAAAAAGAAAAAGAAACACAATCAGTTGAGCGGTCAGTACGGCCTCCCAGGATGTGTGTTAGCAGGAAACTGGAGACAGGAGCAGAGCCAGGCCAGGGTCCCACGGCCCTAGGTCCTCTGCCGAAGACCACGGGTATTATAATCAGCGTCTTAACTGCTGGGCCAAGTGGCACCCCAGTTACTCACGTCTCCCCAGCTGCTCCCCTCAGCCCCTCCATCCAGGCCGCGTTCCTCAGGCTGCTCGCCCTGATCGCCCCTGCACCGGCTCTGGGCTGCGGGTCTACCCAGAGCAGGCACCAAGCAGGCATCCGAGCCCAGCAGTCCTACCCGAGAAACGCTCACAGCGTCTCTGCTTCCTGCCTCTCACCTCACACAGACTCCCACTGCCTGTGCTGAACTCACCCCTTCTCCGCCCCTCCTCCCCCATTCTTATCCGTCCCATGAAGTGACCCAGTGGCTCCCTCTGGGGTCATCCAAGGCTCTGGTGGGACAGGGGCAGGAAGAGAGGGCCAGGGACCCAGGCAGGAGGCCGGCCCACGCATTTCCGGGGTGACTTGTCCCTACGCCCCCACACCCCCCAGTGCAGAGGAGTAGGGCAATGGGTGTATCAGTATTTTCTTTCCTGGTGGGGGGAGGGGGTGGGGATTGAGGAAAGAACAGCCGGCCCCAGGATGATTGGCACCGGGCCCCGCCTTCTTTTGTCCTCCTCCCCCTAGGTACTCATTTGGGCCCCTGTGGGGAAGTACACCTGTTTCTGGCCAGCTGCCGGCGGACCGGACTCACCTCTGCTGCTCGCTGGGCTGTGTCTGGGCTGGGTGCTGTGGAGCCCCGGGAGCCGTCTGCAGCCATGGCGGGGGCCCCCTGGACCAGGGCCCCCACGGGGTTCCTGAGCTGTTTGTACTCCTGCCTCCTCTGCACGGTACTCCTGGGTAAGTGATGCGCCTTGCAGTGTTCTGGGGGCACAGGGAGGTGGGCTTCAGGGGTCCAGCAGGGGAGCTGGGACTAGGGAAAGGGACGGGACAGAAATGGGGTAGGAGTGAGGGAAAACACTAGAAAGACCAAGACAGAAGAGAGGGAACAGAGACAGAGGCAAGCAGAGATGTCTGGGGATGGGGGTGGCCTGGTTCTGGGGGAGCCCCTGGGGGGCAAGGCTTAGCGTGTGGAGCAAAAGAGACAGGTAGGCAGAGCTGGAGGGAGGGGTGAGTGCGGACGACAGAGACTGACAGAGAAAGACAGGAAGCTAGGTGACAGACATGGAAGAAAACCTCCTATAGACACGTGCAGGCAGAGGACAAGGCCGGGAAGACCGACACATCCAAGGCTGAGGGGATGGAGACAGAGGGCAGGCCAGAGGAGGCGCACGGAGGGAGAAGGCAGGGACCAGCCAGGACAGCGGCGGGGAGGGGCGCAAAGGTGGGGCATAGCGGGGGGAGCAGTAGGCACTTGCCCCCGAGCTTGGGGTAAAGTCTCCTCTTGGCCAAATGCCCTCAGATGGGCCTCGTGGCTCAGGCAGTGGCCTCAGCCAGCTGCACAGCCCGACGTCCCTGGCAGCTGGGGCGGGTGCAGCCGGCCCTCTTCCTGCCCCTTCCCGGCTCTCCTGCCAGCTCCAGATGGGTTGCACGGTGTGCCTGGTGTCTGAGTCCTCTGGGAGTGTCTGGGGTCTGGAGAGCGTGAGGGGTCAGGAGCCCCAGGCAGGGTTAGAACCGCAGCTTCCTCCCCACCCCAACAGCCCTGGCACCCTGCCGCAGCAGAAATGGCAACCTGGGGCTGGCTCCTCGCGGCCGGAAGTGGCACCCTCACTACCCTTGAAATTTTAAGGACTAGGCTAGGAGTAAATGGCAACACCCCACAGCTGACCCCAATGCTCCCCACCCCTCTCCTACCACAGTGCGGAAACAGAGGCTAGAAGGAGCCCCCCGCCCCCCACGGCCAGCCCCTCAGAGTCCTGGCCTGAGGGTGTGGAGGAAGGGGCCCCTGTGGCAGTGAGGACTCCCGGGCAGCACAGGGAAGATGACCGGGATGCCGGAGTCCTGGGGCCAGGCCTGGCTTTGCTGCTGACCGTCCTGGCCAGGGCCCGGTCCCATCAATTCTCCTAGGGGCAGCGAATGGCACGACTCCTGAGCCCTGATCTCTTAGGTTTCCACCTTCTGTGGCTTAAAGCCAACCCCTAGGGGCCAGTGTTGTGGCGTAGTAGATTAAGCCTCTCCTGCAGTGCCAGCATTCCATACGGGTGCCGATTCGAGTCCCAGCTGCTCTGTTGAGCCAGCTCTCTGCTAATGGCCTGGGAAAGCAGCAAAAGATGGCCCAAGTGCTTGGGCCCCTGCACCCATGTGGGAAACCTAGAAGAAGCTCCTGGCCCCTGGCTTCAGCCTGGGCTAGCTCTGACTTGCAGTCACTTGGGGAGTGAACCAGCAGATGGAAGGCCTCTCTCTCTCTCTCTCTCTCAATCTCTCTCTCTCTTTCTCCCTTTCAAATAAATAAAATAAATCTTTTTAAAAAAAAGTCAACCAGCCCCAAAGCATTAGGTGACTTGACCTGTGTCAGGGTCACCACGCTCAAGAGAAGCTAGGAAGGGGGCGAGGCTGGGGCAACAGAGGGCGTGGCCTCAAGAGGGCATGGAGGACCAACAGCTAGTGGGACCCGGAGGAGTGTGTGTGTGCCTGGAGCTGAGTGCTGTATATGGAGCAGAGCTGGAGCAGGGAGGTGGGCGTGGCATGTGGCATGGGAGATGGCACCCAGGAAGCTGATGGAGATCCCGGGCTAGGCAGGCAGTACCCCCCCACACCAGGGCAGCTCCCAGGTGACCTGCCTCCATTTGCTCTAGGGTGTCTTTCCGCATTGCTGGCAGGACCCTCCCCAAGCCTGGGTGGCACAGGGAAGCAGGTGCCAGAGCTTACTCTGCCCTCAGCCAGCAGGAACCCCTCCCTCCACCCCGGGCCTTGGCACAGGGCTGGCAGTGGCAAGGACTTCCTGCTGTAAAAGGGTGAAAGGCAAAGGGCAGGGGGCTGGGAGGGGGGCGGGGGGCCGGACGAGGAGCCAATGGAAGCCCAGTGGCCCCTGGTGGTTCCCAGCAGCATGACTCAGAGCAAAACCTGGCAGTCCCACGGCCATGCCCCACGGTAAGGAAACGGGGCCAAAATGAGCCCTTCACGGCCCACTGACCCGGGCCTCCACCCTGGGCGGCCTCGGAGGTTTTGAGGCTGTGGCAAGTGCAGGCGGGGGAGGAGCCCTCCAGCCACAGGGGCCCAGAGGTGAAGGTTCCTGCTAGCCTTCTCTCAGGGAACCCCAAAATCTATCCCCTACCACACCCTCCACGGCCCATCTGTCCCCCGAGCTCAGGGACACCCACAAGGAGAGGTTCCCTGGACGAGAGGTCCTGCCGAGAAAAATCAGCCGCCTTCAGGCCGTGGCTCCATGGCTGTAGGGTGCAGAGCGAGGACCTAAAACCAGAAGGCCCGGGTCAGTCCGCGTTGCTGGCTATAGGCGAAGTCTCTTTAGCTCGGCAGTCCCAGGGTCTTCATTGGCAAAGCGGGCCAAATGGAAAGGGGCCACTGCACAGCGCTGTCACGAGGGTAGAATGACCCTTGTTTGAGGGGGGAACGCTCGGTTTCAGAGCCGGGGAGAGGGGGACGAGGGGGTCATGTGGCCAACCTGAGAGGGGACGTTTGTCAGCGCAGGGGCAGGTGCTGTTTGAGGAGCCACGCCTGTCTTTCCTGCGGCGAGCGGGCGCTGGCTTGGTTTACGCAGAATGCGGCTGATGGCAGGATGGTGTCACCCCTACAGCACAGAGGCACGCTGCAGCTGACAGCTCTGCGGCACGGCTCGGCTCACTGCCTCGCAATCTCCTCTGCGCTGTTGGTGTCCGGGCTTGGCTCCAAGGCAGAGTGTGATCTGGCCGTGTGTGACGTGCAAATGGTTTGTGTCTTCATTGCCAGGAGAGGCCAAGACGCTGTTGGCCGTTTGTGGGCTCATGCGGTGGCTTTGCACCCACGCTGTTCTCGGGTTTCCCGGCACTGCTGAGGGACTCCAGCAGGCACGTCATGCAGCTCCAGGAGCCACTTCTGTCAGGGCCAGGACCGAGACTGGATGGCCATCTCTTCCCATTTACTCCCCTGTGCTTTTTTTTTTTATTTTTTTTTTATTTTTTTTTTTAAGATTTATTTATCTATTTGAAAGGCAGAGTTACAGAGAGGCAGAGGTAGAGAGAGAGAAAGAGAGAGAATGGCCTTCCATCTGCTGATTCACTCCCCAAATGGCTGCAACTGCCGGAGCTGGGCTGATCTGAAGCCAGGAGCCAGGATCTTCTTCTGGGTCTCCCATGCGGGTGCAGGGCCCGAGGACTTGGGCCATCATTCTCCACTGCCCTCCCAGGCCATAGCAGGGAGCTGGATCAGAAGTGGAGCACCCAGAGCTTGAACTGGCACCCATTTGGGATGCTGGTGCTGCAGGTGGCAACCTCATCCACTATACCACAGGACCAGCCCCTCCCCTGTGCTCTTACCGATAGTTCAGTGTCTGTCCCTGGTGCCAATCAAAATAACGAGGTTTTGGGATAAAGGAAAGAGAGCATTTAATCTATCAACAGATGAGAGCATGACAAACTTCTGAGGCTCTGCTGCGTGAGGGTGTTTGGGGGCTTAGAAAGGGGCCATAAAGGAGGGGATGCTAGCATGGCAAGGTCACGAAAGAGCCGCAGGTGTCCGGGGTCAGGTGCCATGACTTGTCATTAGATGGATGACAACGCATTCCTTCTTTGTTTGTTCAGGGTGGTCAGTGCGGCCCACAAGTGGTGACATGAGATCTAGATCCCCCTGCTCTGGAAAAGAAGTCGAAATAGGGACAAGGCCATGTGTGCTTAGGACACGGGCAAGCGGGAAGCCAGGGGCTGGCCGGGAAGCATCGGCTTCCAGGCTGGACGTTGAAGGAGCAAGAGTTGTTGGCTTCTGTCATTCTATACGCGGCTACACTGTACGAATCCTTGTGTACGTTTTATTCCCACGAGGCTGCGTTCATTGCAAGGGGGCATTCAGCTTCCTTGCCGCCCCATCCCCCAGTGTAGACTGCAGAGTCGAGCTGAAATGCACTGAATTTGTTGGGTTTGTTTGCAGAGGGTTACACCCTCGACACCTCCCTTGAGGCTCTGAAGAGGCCCCAGGATCCCAGCGCCTGTGTCTGTCTGTGCATGAGGCCCGCACAATGGCGGCCAGGCTCATGGTGGGTCCTGGTCCTTGTCACGGGCAGCTCTGTGCCCCCTGCCTGTGCATCTCAGGACTGTGTTGCCCACTGCTCTCTACAGAGAGGACCCTCAACTTACATCGCTGTTGGGTTGCAAAAGCCCAGTGGATAGCAGGTTTTGGGGAATTCGGAATAGGAAAGAGCTTGGACTTGGGAGCTATTCATTCGCTCGCTGAACTGCTACCCATGCCAGGGGCTCTGTAGGGAAGATGAGTAAGGCAGGCCTTCCGCCTTCTGAAGCTCTCTGTTCATGTCAGCTGACCTGTCTATATCACGTGACCTGAGGGGGTCTGAATCCGGGTCTCCCAAGCCCTGGTTGACCAAGCTTCCACGGCAACACACAACATTCCGCAAACAAACCTACAAACCAGGCTGGCATGCACAGCCTCTGCCGAGGGAGCCATTCATTCATTCCTTCATTCACTTGTTTGTTACACACCATAATGCACCTGGCATTGTTCTAGGAGAGCACTGTGTGCGCAGGGGGAAGATCGAGACAGACGTGGCCCAACCTTCCAGAGCCGGGATCTCCCCATCGGCAGACAGACATTAAATAATTGCAGAAAAGTTCCCACTTACCAAAGCGGTGAGTGCGATGAGGAACAAACATGTATGTGGGGAGCTTCCTTTAGGTCAGTGAGCCCAGATGGGACCTCGCTGAGGACGTGCTGTCTGTATGCCTGAGACCCGCAGGCTGAGGGCAAGCCAGGGGCAGCACATGGCGGGAAAGACAGGCAGAGCGAGAACAGGTGCACAGTCAGGAAAGAGCTTGGCCCCTTGGAGGGTGTCTGTGAGGAGGCAGGTGCTGGGTCACGCAGGCCTTGCACGCTGTGCAGTGGATTATGGATCTGAAGGGTTTTAGGTAAGGATGCTGTATGGAAAATAGGTTGGAAGGGGCAGGGGTGCCACGAGAGACCAGTGAGGAGCCAGCTGTAGGTGTCCAGGCGGAAGCTGCTGTGACTCGGCCTGGTGGTGGAGTAGTGATCTGGGAAAGTGTAAAACAGCAGCAAGAGCCAGCGCCGTGGCTCACTAGGCTAATCCTCTGCCTTGCGACGCTGGCACACCGGGTTCTAGTCCCGGTCAGGGCACCGGATTCTGTCCCGGTTGCCCCTCTTCCAGGCCAGCTCTCTGCTGTGGCCCGGGAGTACAGTGGAGGATGGCCCAAGTGCTTGGGCCTTGCACCCCATGGGAGACCAGGAGAAGCACCTGGCTCCTGCTTTCGGATCCGCGCGGTGTGCCGGCTGCAGTGCATCAGCCGCGGCGGCCATTGGATGGTGAACCAACAGCAAAGGAAGACCTTTCTCTCTGTCTCTGTCTCTCACTGTCCACTCTGCCTGTCAACAAAACAAAATGGCAGCAAGCAGAGGGCCTGCTCCGACGAGGATTGGGTCCCAGGGATGGCTGCCTTTGCCAGCATCTCAGGGCTCCATAGAGACAAAGATAACAGGTGGTGCAGAGTGATGTCTGTTGAGCTAAGATTTTGAGCTGAGTATTGCATATACATTACCCCGTTGGGACTTTTATCTATCATTACCCTAATTTTCTGTGTGAGGACCCTAAGCCTCAGAGAGGTCATGAAAATTGAGTCACATAGCACATGGTGGTCAGTCTGACTCTGCGATCTATGCTCCGAACCATTGCACAGCCTCATCAGATTCTCCTGTTTCTTGCCCATGTCAGGTTCAGAAAGAAGCTGGTTAGGGCGTGTCAAGCACGGTTGTCTGGCAGGAGTCCCAGCAAAACCAACCAAGTCATAGTAATCCCTACAAAACCGCTCTCCTGTAGCCTTCCCTTCTTCCCTAAGTCAGAGACCAGCGGCACAGTGCTCTGGGGTGCTAGGGGGTGGGGAGTCACTGATGTCATCCCAGGTTTCTCAAGCCCCCTCTTGTCCCTCATCAGTCCTCTGGGCTGACCTCAAAAGTTCAGGTCAGTGACACCAAGGGAGGTCATTTAGACTCCACCCATCCCAGCTGGCTCCACAGCAAGAGCTCTGTGTATTCTTTCCAACATACTGCTGACGTCACACAAAGCCAAGCCTCTCAACCAGGCATTTCTTCACCGTGGGCATTGCTGCTGGTCACCTAGCCTCATTCCCGCTAGCATCTGATGGCGATGGGACCTCGGCTCTCCAGCCAATAGCCACAGAAGCTCCAGGGCCAAGCCAAGAGACACCAAACCCAGCTCCGACCGTAGCACACCAGCCCAGCACCAGCTGCCTGGTTCCCAACACCTTCCCCTCCTCAGAAGAAGTTTGGTCCCCAGCCTCCGCCGTCTAGGTGCTGGAGCCTCATCTCTCCTGGCTCCCCGTGGAGGTAGGCACACCCTCCCAGCCGAGGGCTGCACCAGGAAGCCTGCAGTCATCATGCTGGCCTCCTCCTGGTCCGGGCACCATGCAAAAGTACAATCTCACCCTTCCTCCAGCCTCCACTGAAGGAGCCAGGGACCAGGGCATGGAAGACACAAGGGCTCATTTATACATCGCGTGACCGTGCAGCAGCGGGCCAGGTGTGTTCCAGCTGCTGCAGGTATCCTGAGGTGAGCTGCTCCAGGGGCATTTGGAGTTACTGTCTCTGCTCATCTTGAATTCTAGGAGCTATAGAGGAAAAGTGCCCAGGGGATGTCCCATTGGTCACGGTTGATTCTAAAGACCACACAGCCTATGGGCAGGACCCTGTGGCCAGACTGGAAGTTGGTGGCTCCATCCCTCTCCCCAACTTCTTCACTCGTCCCCACACCTGCTGCCCGAGGCTATCCTCGCAGCTGGGTGTTTGCCTTGGGCTCCACACTGCCCTTAGCAGCCCGGCAAAGGAGAAATAACAGCAGAAAAATGAAACCTGGAGGTGACAGGTTTCCTCACCTATGGGTTCCTCCAATTCCTCCAATTCCAGGAAAAACTCCAGATAAACAGATCAGATGCTAAGAATAAGCCCCAGCCACAGGCATGCAGGGCGCAGGCTTTGTCTTCCCTTGGGGGAGTGACCTCGGGCTGCTCCGGATGGAATGTTATCGCCAGCATCGCCACCTGCTGCCACCACTCCCAGTCCTGAGTCAGCCCCGCCCCGCCTGCCTAAGGCCTTCTCACAACACCTGGGAGAAGCCATCTGGTCTTCACTTTCATTTTGCCTTCTCAGCGCTCTGAAAGGCAGAGGACAACTCCTGGATGCCCCCCACCCGAGAAGTTCAAGGGGAGACCAGTGAGCACCTAGCAGAGAGCTCTCTGGCTGGCACGGTGGTAGGGAACCGATGAACAGAGGGCTGTCCCCCACTTCCGGGGCTGGACAAGGCTCCCTCCTTGGAGAGAGCTTCTTAAAAATGAACATTTATGTTAGACAACGCCACACATGTGTCTTTGGATGGTGGTCTTATCAGCCCAGCAGGTCCAAAGCCATCACAACCCACTCTGATAGCACCATGGAGAGGAGATCGTAGGAGAACTGGTAGAGATATCCCAGCATCCCGTCATTTGCCCTTGACAATGTACCAGACTTGCACCCGGGCTCAGACCCCTCTGCATGTGGCAGGGCAGTGACCACTCCTCCGTCCCTACTTGAGCTCTGCGTCCACGTGGTGACGGCCCCAGAACTGAGCAGAGCTCCCCTCTCAGAGCCCCCAGTCCTGCTGCTCTCCAGGTGTGTAACACTAGGCTAGGGGCTTAGCTGTCTCAAATCTTAGTTTCCTCATCTGTGAAATGGGGCCAATGCTAGAAAGCACTAGGCAAACATAAAAAGTTACCATTTAAGGCCGGCGCCGCGGCTCACTAGGCTAATCCTCCGCCTAGCGGCGCCGGCACACCGGGTTCTAGTCCCGGTTGGGGTGCCGGATTCTGTCCCGGTTGTCCCTCTTCCAGGCCAGCTCTCTGCTGTCCAGGGAGTGCAGTGGAGGATGGCCCAGGTGCTTGGGCCCTGCACCCCATGGGAGACCAGGAAAAGCACCTGGCTCCTGGCTCCTGCCTTTGGATCAGCGTGGTGCGCCGGCCGCAGCGCGCCGGCCGCGGCGGCCATTGGAGAGTGAACCAACGGCAAAGGAAGACCTTTCTCTCTGTCTCTCTCTCTCACTGTCCACTCTGCCTGTCAAAAAAAAAAAAAAAAAAGTTACCATTTATTCATCATGGGTCCAAAATGTGTCCTTTGAGAGAAGTACACCAGAAATTCCAGACGTCTGGGTCGGTTAATCGCAGCAGTCCATGACGCTCAGCCATCCAAAATGGAGACCTTGTCTCCCGCAGAAACCACGAGTGTAGTGTAGGAAAGTCCCGGCAATGGTGCCTCCCAACAGAAGCCGTCCTGCCATGCACACAGAACACCAGGACCCTTGGACACTGCTCAGCCATGACTAGAGGAAGGTTGCCGTCACCAAGCCTTGTCACAGGTGTGAGGGGGTGGCAGGAGCAATCCAGTCACCGGTCTCCATGGCTCTCGTAAGACAATGTGACCCGTGGTGTCAGGACCGGAAGAGCTGCTTCCCTGGGCAGGCCCTAAGGCCCTTTCCCAGAGCGAACTTGCTGAGGGGCTGGTGGGGAAAGTGCCCTTCCTGGTTCCCAGGGCTGAAGATCAACCCTCAGTGGTGCAGCTGGGGGCTTGGAGGGGGGTGGGCAGCCTGGATTGGGAGGGGCAGTGAGGGAGCTGCTGTGAGGAAGTCATGAGGATGCCCAAGCGACCCTGAGGGTGTGACGGAGAAGCGGTCTCCAGGAATAAGAGCCGGTGCCCAACTGTGACGGAGGGGACAAGGAAGAGGAAGGAGCTGAAGGTGATCTGGGTTGTGGCCCGGCTACCTGGGAGACTACTGTTAGCAATTAGCAGAAGGCAGGAACACGAGGAAATGGTGCGAGGAAAGTTCACCTCGCAGAGGTTACACTGGGTAGGCAGGAGCCGGGAAGGTGAGACGTCCGGGCAGAACTACAGGTGCATACGGCATGACCGCGGATGCGACTGTGCAAGAGGGGAGAGAGTGTGTGTGGCAGAGAGGGGAAGGGTTGGAGGTGACACCCAGAAACACAGCTGTAGCTGGGGCCGGAGGGGCTGAGAGAAGCCGCCCAGGGGGCTGCGGGGTGCGCGGGAAAGAGAGAAAAAATGCTCTGCTTCTGAGAGCGTAAAGCATGTGTGTATCGTGGGGACGCTGGCCAAGGGGCAACAGAGAGGCCAGTGCCCCGTAAATGTGTCACATAAATAAAGGGGCAGGTGGCACATTTCACAGAGATAACACAGAACTGATAATGGTGACTAGGAGGGAGATTCTGGAACGCTTGGAGGGGAGTGGCTTCCATGAGGTGGTGGGGGCAGAGTGTCATGGGTGGGTGAGGAAGAGGAGGTGGTGAGTTTGAGCCTCTCTTCCAAGATGCTCGAGGGCAGAACAGACGATGGCGACAAGGAGGACAGGAGACAGGTGGAAGGATTTCATTCTAGACACAGAGAGTGCAGGCCATGCAGGAAGAGGCCCTGGGACAGGGAAGTGGTGGAGAGAGCAGGGCGCAGGGCAGGAGGGGAGCAGACGGGACTTTCGGAGGCGCCCAGCCTTTCGGGGAGGACGGAGTCTCTCTTCCGAGGCAAGCTGGAGCCTGGCAAAGACAGAGACCTTTCCTGGAGGCGAGGGTTCAGGGACGTCTGAGAGCTGGCTTGGGTCTTCGCAGCGAAGCTGAAGATGGAACGTCACGGGAGGGAGAGGGCGGGCGGGCTTGGGGCTCTCACACATGGGCTCCTCACGGCCCTGGTTCTGGCTCCAGCTCCGGCTCCGGCATCCTCGCTGCTCCCACACTTCAGCTCCTCACAGCCCCCGGCTCCGGCTCTGGCTCCGGCTCTGGCTCTCTGCTCTGCCGATGCCTTTCGCATGTAGCATTCTGGGGGATCTGACGGTCTCTCGGGACCAGAAGAGCCCAGCTTGCAGTCTGGCGAAAGACAAGGCTGGTTGGTTTGGGCAGCACTGGAGCATCGAGGACCAGGCTGGGCTGCTGTGAACAAAGCTTGCTTAAGACCCCACGTTCTCTCATGACTTCAGTCAGGTGGGCTTAGCGTGCAAGCATCTTTAAGAGCGGCTACTGTCATTTATTTTAAGGGCAGTGTTTCCAACAATGAGATCCATAGAGGACCCGCGTCGGAATCACCTAGATCTCTGGGCCCCATCCAGTACACAGGCAAGCGGGCTCCAGTCATGGCCCCAGGAATACATTTGTAGAAGCGCCCCCCACCCCTGCCCCCCCAGGATTCCTCACGGAGGCGCCCAGCTCTTTGAGGACCATTTGCTCCAAACAGGAACTTTCCTGGGGGCCCCTCCCCTCAGCAGGATTCCTCACCTAAGAATAACCTGCTGGCTCTCTGTCAACTGTTTTCCTAAACAGTTGAGGGGAGAGATTTAGCACTGATGGTTCCACAACCCCTGTGGCTGCATTGTAACCACGGCTAATCTCATCTCTTCCCTCTCGCAGCAAGCCCAGCAGATCTGGTTTGTTCCCCAAGACAATGAAACTACAGCACCAACACCCAGCGGCTGCTCACTTGCTTTCCTACTGCGCGGCAGCGCAGGCTGAAGCAGGAAACTCTAATCAATCACTCAGGATGAGCAAACTCTTTAAACAAAGGTCTGAAGGGGAGGCTACCAGGGCCCACCCCTCTTTGGCCAGATTTAACATCGATCTTGCAAAGCCAGGTTTTTTTTTCTAAAGGGGTGACTATCAGAACACAGGTGGTGTCTCCTACACTGCCCATGGAGGTGTGAGTTGGCGTGACCTACCTGCACAGAAATGTGGCCAAACGTGGGAATAACATGAACGTGTTTGTAACTGCGTTAACCAGTAATTCCTCTAACAGACATTTGTGTAAGGAAGCAAGCTGAAATCATGAAAGAAAAACAAAGCATTTAGGCACGCAGAGAGTGGTAAAAGCTTTGTTTACAAAAGCAACACCCTGGAGGCAGTGTGTACGCCCAGTAGTGAGTGGAATGAATGGTGAGCTTTCCCTGGGAAGCGGTATGACTTCCCGCGGAAATTGAAGGTGATGTCCGTACTCCACTGGGGCACGGACGAACACACACATGTGCCATCCATGCACCAGCAGTGTATGGGAGAAGCATAAAGCAGCAGAAAGCCCCTGACCCTGGGCACTCGTGATGGCACAGAGAAGGAGTGGCAGGACACACTGCAGGAGGTGCCATGGGGGAGGGGCTGTCCTCCCCGTGCTGCTGCTCTTACTTATAGAGCGGTTTCCAGCTGGGGGATTGTTGGGAGGGGGTCCTCCAGGCTCAGGGCGGGAGTTTCCACACAACACCCAAGATCCTGCTGCTGCGGAGGTGGAGCTGTGGCTCACTTGGTTAATCCTCCGCCTGCGGCGCCGGCATCCCATATGGGCGCTGGGTTCTAGTCCCAGTTGCTCCTCTTCCAGTCCAGCTCTCTACTGTGGCCCGGGGAGGGCAGTGGAGGGCCCCTGCACCCACATGGGAGACCCAGAGGAAGCACCTGGCTCCTGGCTTCGGATCGGCGCGGCACCGGCCGTAGCGGCCATTTGGGGAATGAACCAAAGGAAGATCTTTGTCTCTGTCTCTCTCGCTCACTGTCTATAACTCTGTCTAAAATAAAATAAAATAAAAAATCCTGCTGCTGGGCTGAGTTGGCGCTTCCTGGCCTCTGAGAGGGGCAGGGAAAGAACCACCATCTAAAGCCAAGAAGCTTTCTCTCTCAGGCCACATGAACAAAAATAGGAATGCGAAGAAATGCCCATGCTATGCATCAAGTTAGTAAAGCAGGATACACTAGGTACGTGTTTCTTAAAGACAGCAAAAAAATCCTGAAAGGAAGCACAAGTGTATCCATCTGAGTAATAAAATTATAGATTTGGGGCCTTTCAACTATAGGTGTTTATTTCTCAAAATATGGATAATGAGAATGTCTTTAATTTCAGTGAATTTGTGTAACTTTGTCCACAAAGAAAGATAAAGTATTTTTTGTTAAATTTATTCTTTTTTTTTTTTGACAGGCAGAGTGGATAGTGAGAGACAGAGACAGAGAGAAAGGTCTTCCTTTTGCCATTGGTTCACCCTCCAATGGCCGCAGCGCGCCGGCACTGATCCGATGGCAGGAGCCAGGTGCTTCTCCTGGTCTCCCATGGGGTGCAGGGCCCAAGCACCTGGGCCATCCTCCACTGCACTCCCTGACCACAGCAGAGGGCTGGCCTGGAAGAGGGGCAACCGGGACAGAATCCAGCGCCCTGACCGGGACTAGAACCCGGTGTGCCGGCGCCGCAAGGCGGAGGATTAGCCTAGTGAGCCGCGGCGCTGGCCTGAATAAATAAATAAATCTTTAAGAAAAGGAAAAGCAGAGTCACCAAGAGAGAAGGCGATACAGAAAGAGAGATCTTCCATTGGCTGGTTCATTCCCCAAATGGCCGCAACGGCCAGAGGTAGGTGGATCCAAAGCCAGGAGCCAGGAGCTTCTTCTGGGTCTCCTGGGTGCAGGGGCCCAAGCACTTGGGTCATCTTCCACTGCTCTCCCAGGCCATAACAGAGAGCTGGATTGGAAGCAGAGCAGCCCTTATGGGATACTGGTGCTACAGGCCTGGCTTAATCTGCTACACCCCAGTGCTAGCCCCCTAAACAGAACCTCTTTTACCATCATAGCTTTTGTTCATTTTTCTTACCTTATTGCACTGGTGAAGTCCTAAAACCTAATGTTGGACAGAAGTGGTGATTTCTGGCATCATAGTCTTATTCCTCATTTTCAAGGAAGTATTTCCTTTAGGAATTATGCTAACTATAGGTTTTTAATTGATATTAACAACTTAAGGGAGTTAACTCCTATTTTTCATTTACTAAGAGTCTCACCAAGAAATACTTTTCCTATGTTGGCTGAGATGGTCATGTTTTCTTGTCTGCTGTTTTTATGGTGATTTGCATCCTATATTTCTGGTTTAAACTCAGCTTGGTCATGATGGATGTGCTTTTAAAAAAATCCCACATTGGATGTGACTTGCTGATGTTTGGTTTAGAATATTTTCATTTATATTATTTCTGAGATTTACTAATTATTTATTTCCCTTTCTTTAGGCTGCCTTTGCGTGGTCTTGGCATTGAAATTCTATCAGTCTTATAAAGTTAGCTGTAGAGCATTTTTTCTAAACTCTGAAAGAGTTTTCATTAAACAAATTACCTATTCTTTGAATGTCTGATGAAAACTGCCTGTAGAATAATCTTGGTCTACCTTTTTTGGTGAGTGGGTGGGTTCTTCTTTTAAACTGCTGATTCAATTTAAAGGTTCATATTCAGGCTATCTATTTTTTCTTGATTAATTTTTGATATTATATTTTAAGGAAATTGCCCAGTTCATCTAAATTTTCACATTTTTGGTATAAATTCAGCAGAGCATTGGGCCTTAAATTTTTTTCTGAAGTTCTTTTCTCTTTTTATTCCTAAAGTCTTCTTTTCTTTTTTCCTTCTCTTTCCTTTCTTACCTTCTTCCTCATTCCCTCTTCCTCTCTCTCTCTCTTAATCTTTCCAGGCGTTCATCTATTTTATCTTCAAACAATCAACTTTTGGCTTCATTGATTCTCTTTATAATTGTTTCTATATCATGTTCTATTCTATTGTTATTCTAGCCTTCATTCTGCTTTTCTTCTTTTAAAGATTTATTGATTTATTTGAAAGTCAGAGTAACAGAGAGGGAGTGACAGACAGACAGAGATTTTCATCCACTGGTTCACTCCCCAGATGGCTGCAGAGCCAAGCCAAACCAGAAGCCAGGAGCTTCCTCTGGGTCTCCCACGTGGGTGCAAGGCCCTAAGTACTTGGGCCATCCTCTGCTGCTTTTCCCAGGCTCATTAGCAGGGAGCTGGATGGGAAGTGGAACAGCTGAGACACCCATATAGGATGTTGGTACTGGCTTTACCTGATTTGCCACAACACCAGCCCCCTTCTTTTTCTTCTTGCTTCCTTTTTTTTTAAATCAACCTTTACCACCAAGGGTTTCAGCTTTATGCAAAGGAAACTCGGTTCACAATGTCTTGATCTCAGATGGTATTTTCTTTCCCCTTTCAAACCTTAAAACTCATAGCCACAAATCTTAGAAATTGGCAGACTCCCTAGCTTGCCATCTAGTTTTTAGTTTCTTCACTCCTGAGTGTTTTCTTCTCTTTCTTCCAAGTTCTACTGTGCATTATAAACATATATATCACATTATCTGGCATTTGCAGGTTTTTTAGCTAAAGGCTCTTCTCTCCTTCCGTACTATTGACATTAAAAAAAAAATGGTCTGTGCTATTATGAAAGCTTTGCCACTGATGCCTATTTTAGCAGAAATGATGAAGGGTCTGAAAAGATGCTAATTGAGGAGAAACTACAAGTTCAGAAACTTGAGCAAGTACATGGCTTTGTTGACTCAGGCTGATGATTGAGCAAGGCTCTTAATTATGTTCTTAGGAAATAAGGTTACAATAATTACATAGAGAATATTTTTAAAACTAAACCAGGTTTAGCAGTTTTATTGACAGAGCAGATATAGAATTGGGAATTCTACAAATAAATCTCATAATGTAAAAAAAGGAATTTGCTCTTTAAGGTGGAAACAGAGGCATTTTGGATAGGACCTCCTGACACAGCTCTGCAGCTCCACCCCTGCCTTTGTCCATATCTGCTTAGAAGAGTGTCACCGCCGCGGCTCACTAGGCTAATCCTCCGCCTGAGGTGCCAGCACCCTGGGTTCTAGTCCCGGTTGGGGCGCCGGATTCTGTCCCGGTTGCTCCTCTTCCAGTCCAGCTCTCTGCTGTGGCCCTGGGAAGGCAGTGGAGGATGGCCCAAGTGCTTGGGCCCCTGCACCTGTGTGGGAGACCAGGAGGAAGAACCTGGCTCCTGGCTTCAGATCTGTGCAGCGCGCCGGCCGTAGCGGCCATTTGGGGGGGTGAATGAACGGATGGAAGACGGAAGACCTTTCTCTCTGTCTCTCTCACTGTCTAACTCTGCCTGTCAAAAAAAAAAAAAAAAAAAAAAAAAAAGTGTGTCACCAGGAAGCGGCTATTATCAATGAAGTGTGGAAGGTTGTGACTGTGAGCCACTTCTCTTGTCATGAATTAGAGCTGGTTTATAATCACTCTCACTCTCTTGGGAGTCTAAATTGCTCTCTCTGCAGAAGAGAAACTGGCGGAATCAGTCACCTCCAGGAACATACATCCATCTAAGTCCTTCCCCGGGAGTTTGTCTCTCTGTGAATCTTCCCCGCTACCTCAACTAGCTGTGAGCACTGAGGTTAAAAAAAAAAAAAAAGATTTGAGAACAGCTAGAAAGCTAATAAAAACCTGAAAGGAAAAAAGGGATATGTTTCTAAAAGAAAAGAACCCAAGTGTTCTTGGTTTGTTCTTGGTTTTGAACACCAAGAGATTTTCAAGCCAAAGTTCAGGAGGACAGTAGGTAGTGGGAGTAGGTGCAGTTGAGTATTTTGAACAAATAAGTTGAAATTTAAACATTGTGTTTGGGAAATAAACAGAAAAAAGAAAGCCAATCATGACCAATTAAATTCACATTCTATTAGGATGTTCCCACATAGCGGGGTACTTGAACAGAAACACCAAGGCTTTAGCAGGAACCATGATTTCTTTTTTCTTTTCTTTTTTTAGATTTTTATTTATTTATATGACAGGTAGAGTTACAGACAGTGAGAGAGAGAGGAGAGAGACAGAGAGAAAGGTCTTCCCTCCGCTGGTTCACCCCAAGTGGCCGCAACGGCCAGAGCTGTGCCAATCTGATGCCAGACTAGGAGGTGCTTCCTCCTAGTCTCCCATGCGGGTGCAGGGGCCCAAGGACTTGGGCCATCCTCCACTGCTTTCCCAGGCTACAGCAGAGAGCTGGACTGGAAGAGAAGCAACTGGGACTAGAACCAGCACCCATAAATTAAAAAAAAAAAAAAGGGGCCGGCGCTGTGTCGCAGCGGGTTAACGTACCGGCATCCCATATGGACTAGGTTACCTTATCAGGTCTAATATTCTCCCACCCCCACATATAATGAACAATACACTAACACTGGTTAGTCCTACAGCACTGTGCTGACAGGCAGATGCTGAAACTGTCAGAGGCCAGATACTGCCACATTCCTCTCCCAAGATCAGTCCTTCTTTCTTTCGGGAAGGCCCTATCACAGCCAGAGCTAGAGGCTGTGCATTTACTTCTCGGGTTTCCGCTAGATTGGGACAAATATGAACAATGAAAAAAAAAAGGTAGAAATGTAATTTACTTTGAAAACAAGTAACACTTTGGTCAAGTGAAGTCCGAAATATTAAATAGAAAATTCTTGAAAGAAATCATTCATAAATTAAATAATTTCTGTTCTATTGTTATAACTGTCCTTTTCTGTTAGTTATTGCTGTTAGTCTCTCACTGTGACACATTTACAAATTAAACTTTCTCATATGCATGTATGTATGGGGAACCCCACAGTATATATATACAGTCTGTCTGGGACCGCCGGTTTCAGACATCCACTGCAGGTCTTGGACGTGAGCCTGCAGACAAGCGGGAACTCTGGGAATCAGCCTCCCTCCCACCGTGGAGTTTAAAACGTCTCTTTCTCCTTCTAGTCTGCCCTTGGCTTTTTACTCCCTGACAAGACAGCGTGAGTCAGAAAGTTGCTCACTATGTTCTGGGGATCTCTCGTTTAAAACAATTCAAAGTGGGCCTGACCAGGCCCCGGCCCCCGCGGGAATCCTATCCCCTCGCTTTACCATGGAACTTCTCCTTAAGCTTACCCCAGGCACTCTCTGCACCCTGGCTGGAGCCGTATGGAAGAGCAGCCCTGCTGCCCCAGCTCATTCAGCCTCCACCCTGCAGATGGGGCTGCGAACGGCCAGCTTCTGTTCCGTCAGCTGCCGTCCACGCCCCGTGCTGAGGGAGCTGCCTCCATCTTTGTGTACCCCTCACCTGCCCTAAGGAAGGGTGTATTCGGTATTTGGCAAGGTCGTTGTGGAGACTGCTGAGGTGACAGGAGCAGGACTCCCAGATTTAGGTGATGATGTGTGTTCTGATGTTGCCACAGTTGAGTGTGTAGAGGTTGCTGTTGTTACCACTACTGCCATTGTTGGGGTATCTTAATGAATGTGGATCTGTGTATTTCAATTAAACAATGTTATGAGACTAAAGCACCTATATCTCGGCTTTTAAGCTTTGCCTGGGGAAACCAGGAGGTGCACTACCTTCCAAAATCATCTGTAATAAAGCCAAAGTGTTGACACATGCTAATTACTACATTATTATTCACCAGTAGGAACCTGCCTATGGTGCAAAATAATTAGCACTGGCTAATAAAGCAAGTCTTACAGCCATGATACAGTAGAGGTTGGCTATAGTATTAAATTTGCATAACACTTGAGCAACAATGAGCCAAACACTCAAGGCTCATAAAGTCTTCTATTTTAAATTAAAGGAAATGTTGAAACAACAGTTTCTACATCAACCATAAGTGGACAAACTACAACAGACTCTCAGACGACAAGTACTCCAAGGAAAACACCCATTACATCTACTTCCACGTTCAGCAATACAACCTTGACAACAGCAACGTCAACGTCAAATTCAAAACATTCAACTGTGACAACAGAAGACACATCATCATCGAAAACTGGGAGTCCTCCTCCAGTCACCTCAGTGGTCTCCTCAACAGCAATTTCTTCAACAACCTGCACTCAGGAAATATCAGCCGTTTCTCAGAACCCACAGACTCAGGGTGGGGAGAAAACCAGAGGATCTCCAACCAGCACCCATGTGGAAGTGACCACATCATCACCTCCAACCTCCCAGGGTGGAAACACTCTGACACAGACAGTGTCTCGGGCAACATCCCATCCTGGTGAAACAGCCAGCACAGCTCCCTCCAGTTTCAGCAAGACACCATCAACGACATCAGAAGTGCTCACAACACCAACTTCCACACACTCAACTGTTGGAACTACAGATGGCACGTCATCACCTAAATCTGGGAGTCCTCCTCCAGTCACCTCAGCAGCAGCAGCAACTACTTCAACAACCTCCACTCAGGAAACATCAACAGTTTCTCAGAATCCACAGACTCAGAGTCTGGAGACCACCAGAGGATCTCCAACCAGCACCCACCCAGACATGACCACAAAATCACCTCCATCCGCCCCAGGTGGAAACACGCTGACAGAGGCTGTCTCTAAGGGGACATCCCCTCCAAGTGAAACAGCCACCACATCTGTTTCCATAGTCAGCAAGACACCCCCGAGAACAGCAGGAGTGGTGACAATGCCAACTTCTGCACACTCAACTCTGGCAACCACAGAGAACACGTCATCCCCTAACATTGGGAGTCCTCCTCCAGTCACCTCAGGAGTCTCCACAACAACAACTTCTTCAACAACCTCCACTCAGGAAACATCAGCCGTTTCTCAGAATCCACAGACTCAGGGTAGGGAGACCACCAGAGAATCTCCAACCAGCACCCACCCAGTGGTGACCTCATCAGCAACTCAATCTTCCCCAGGTGGACACACTCTGACACAGACAGTCTCTCAGGTGACATCCACTGCAGGTGAAACAGCCACCACATCTCCCTCCAAATTTAGCCAGATGCCATCAACAACATCCGAAGTGCTCACAACACCAACTTCTACATATTCAACTGTAGAAACAACAGAAGAAACATCATCACCCAAAACTGGGAGTCCTCCTCCAGTCACCTCAGGAGTCTCCACAACAGCAACTTCTTCAACAACCTCCACTCAGGAAACATCAGCAGTTTCTCAGAATCCACAGACTCAGGGTGGGGAGACCACCAGAGAATCTCCAACCAGTACCCATGTGCAAGTGACCACATCAGCACCTCCATCTTCCCCAGGTGGACACACTCTGACACAGACAGCCTCTCAGAAAACAACCCCTCCATGTGAAACAGTCACATCTCACTCCAGTTTTAGTCAGACACCATCAACAACCTCAGAAGTGCTCACAAAACCAACTTCTATATACTCAACTGTAGAAAGAACAGAAGAAACGTCAACACTTAAAACTGGGAGTCCTCCTCCAGTCACCTCAGTGGTCTCCTCAACAGCAACTTCTTCAACAACCTCCACTCAGGAAACATCAGCCGTTTCTCAGAATCCACAGACTCTGAGTCTGGAGACCACCAGAGGATCTCCAACCAGCACCCATGTGGAAGTGACCACATCATCACCTCCAACCTCCCAGGGTGGAAACACTCTGACACAGACAGTGTCTCGGGCAACATCCCATCCTGGTGAAACAGCCAGCACAGCTCCCTCCAGTTTCAGCAAGACACCATCAACGACATCAGAAGTGCTCAAAACTCCAACCTCCTCATATTCAACTGTGGAAACAACCGAAGAAACGTCAACATCTAAAACTGGGAGTCCTCCTCCAGTCACCTCAGCAGCAGCAGCAACTACATCCACAACCTCCACTCAGGAAACATCAACAGTTTCTCAGAATCCACAGACTCTGAGTCTGGAGACCACCAGAGGATCTCCAACCAGCACCCATCCAGACGTGACCACATCATCACCTCCATCCTCCCCAGGTGGAAACACGCTGACAGAGACTGTCTCTAAGCAGACATCCCCTCCAAGTGAAACAGCCACCACATCTGTTTCCATAGTCAGCAAGACACCCCCGAGAACAGCAGGAGTGGTGACAATGCCAACTTCTGCACACTCAACTCTGGCAACCGCAGAAGACACGTCATCCCCTAGAACTGGGAGTCCTCCTCCAGTCACCTCAGGAGTCTCCACAACAGCAACTTCTTCAACAACCTCCACTCAGGAAACATCAGCAGTTTCTCAGAATCCACAGACTCAGGGTAGGGAGACCACCAGAGAATCTCCAACCAGCACCCACCCAGTGGTGACCTCATCAGCAACTCAATCTTCCCCAGGTAGACACACTCTGACACAGACAGTCTCTCAGGTGACATCCACTCCAGGTGAAACAGCCACCACATCTCCCTCCAAATTTAGCCAGATGCCATCAACATCCGAAGTGCTCACAACACCAACTTCTACATATTCAACTGTAGAAACAACAGAAGAAACATCATCACCCAAAACTGGGAGTCCTCCTCCAGTCACCTCAGGAGTCTCCACAACAGCAACTTCTTCAACAACCTCCACTCAGGAAACATCAGCAGTTTCTCAGAATCCACAGACTCAGGGTGGGGAGACCACCAGAGGATCTCCAACCAGCACCCATGTGGAGGTGACTACATCAACACCTCCATCCTCCCCAGGTGGAAACACCCTGACAGAGACTGTCTCTCAGGTGACATCCCCTCCAGGTGAAACAGCCACATCTCCCTCCAGTGTTAGCCAGACATCAACAACATCAGAAGTGCTCAAAACTCCAACCTCCTCATATTCAACTGTGGAAACAACCGAAGAAACGTCAACACCTAAAACTGGGAGTCCTCCTCCAGTCACCTCAGTGGTCTCCACAACAACAACTTCTTCAACAACCTCCACTCAGGAAACATTAACTGTTTCTCAGAATCCACAGACTGAGGGTAGGGAGACCACCAGAGAATCTCCAACCAGCACCCATCCAGACGTGACCACATCATCACCTCCATCCGCCCCAGGTAGAAACACGCTGACAGAGACTGTCTCTAAGCAGACATCCCCTCCAAGTGAAACAGCCACCACATCTGTTTCCATAGTCAGCAAGACACCCCCGAGAACAGCAGGAGTGGTGACAACGTCAACTTCTGCACACTCAACTCTGGCAACCGCAGAAGACACGTCATCCTCTAACACTGGGAGTCCTCCTCTAGTCACCTCAGCAGTCTCCACAACAGCTGCAACAAAAGAAAAATCTGCATCAACCTCTTTAACGACCTCCACTCTGGATGCAATAGGGACCCTTCCTTCGGCTACATCACCTCCAGGTGAGTCAACCATCTCACATCCTTCCAAGGTTACTAACATCCTGCATAGAACATTAGGAATGGTTCCCAGGCCAACCTCTACACATCACACTCCATGGAATACAGCGGACATGCCACTTAGTGTAACTACAAAGTTTATGCCGGTGCCTTCAGCATTCTCAACACCTGCTACAGCAGAAAGAGAATCTACTACAACTTCTTCTAGCACCTTTATGCAGGGAACATTAGCATTTTCATGGAACCCCCAGACTCAGAGCATGGGTACCAGCACAGCATCCCACACCAGTGCCCCTACAGAGGAGACTGCATCAACTCCTACATCTTCTCTGAGTGGACACACTCTGACAGAGACCATTTCCCAGGAGACAATCCCTCCAACTAAAATGGCCACTGTACCTCCTTCCAGTACCCACAACACAGACCCAACAACAATGGAGGTATCCAAAATGCCAACCTCCCCAGACTCCACTGTGGAAAACAGAGGGCACACATCACTACCTACAACTGGGAACATGCCTGTACTCACTTCTAAAGTGTCAACCACACCCCTCTCAACTAGTTCTTTAACTTCAAAAACATTAACAGTTTTCCCCACCTACCAAAGAAAAGGCACAGAGACTCCAAGATGGTCTCATGACAGCAGCCTGATTTCTACAAGTATGTCCCAGGAGACATTCATTACAGAGAAAATGACAATGGTGACATCATCATTCTCTGTTGATAACAACACAACTCAGCTTCCAAAAGAACTATTGTCAATGCCAACAGGAGTTACCTGTTACCTTGTCACCAAAAGCCCAACTCCTTCAACAACTGGCACCACAGTTTGGGTCACACCTGAGGTCCCAACAACAGGAGAATTAGGAGAGTCAACCACACAGCCTGATATGAGCCCATCTACTCAGAAAACCATGATAGCAGTTTCCCAGACACAATGGACACAAGGTCCAAGGACCACTGGAGAGATTCACATCAACAGTCCGAGCTCTGGTTCAACTATGGTCATGGAAACAGTGGCATCCCCATCTCCTTCATCAACAATAAGCAGACATACATCTCAAGAAACTATCACAGCATGGCCAAAAGCTCAGTCAACACCACACTCTCCCAGCAGCTCTCCTCGGGAATCCTTGTCTATGCCCAGCATAGGTCACACTCACGCCACACTGACCACACCAGAATCCCAAGCCATGAGTTCAATCACCCCCGAGACTGACACACCCAATGTGGCAACATCCGCAGCGTCTTCTGCCACACCAAGTGGACCCTCATCCTCAGAAAGCACTCCTCAGGAGGCATCCACCGTGGCTGCGGTGACAACCTCCATCCCTGCACCCTCCAGGGACAGCCACCCAGCCACAGGACCACGGCCAGCACCACCCAGCCCCAGCCCCACCCTCCGGCTCTCCGGAGCCCCATCACTCTCCACAGCAAGCACGGTTTCCCAGGACGCTGCTGTCACCTCCCCATCAGGGGGCCCAGGAGGACAGCAGGCATTGCCTTTTGCAAGCACCTCCCCTGACACAGCCCAAGTCATTTCCCAAACCCAGCAGACTCGAGGCACAGAGACCACCGGGGAGGCTCAGCCCAGCACACCAGCCCCCTCAGTGCCAGACCCCACCGCCGCAGCCATGGCTGCCACGTCTTCCCCCACGGCAAGGGGCACAACCTTTGGAAGGGCTTTCCCGGAAACGGCCACTGCAGCCAAGACCACCGACTTTCCCACAACTCCCTCCAGCAGCAGCCACGCAGCTCCGCCAACGGCTGAGCTGTTGTCCTCTGGCACCAGTCCTGACGCTACCCCTGCAGCCGTAGGAATGAGGTCTCCTGCTGTACCCAGCACCTCTCCTCCTACCATCACTGGGGTCCCGACTGATTGGACAGCGTCTTCCAGGACCCCTCAGGAGAAGCCAGCTGTCTCCCAGATGGCTCACACTCCAAGTGCAGGAGCCACCAGAGGACCTGAAGTCAGCACCTTGGCCTGGCAGCTCACTGACACCTTCTCAGCAGTCACAGCGCCACCACCCTCGCCCACAACCATGCCCACTGAGCACACATCACAAACCGAGACTCGCACTCCCTCACCTTCAGGCAGCAGCACAGCCTCTATCCCAACCCCAGGCAGCCACAGCCATGGGAGCCAGACGACAATGCCAGCTTTGTCATCAGGGACAGCAGGAGGGCCATCTGCGGTGGGGCCCACCACCCTGGGAGATGCAGCCCCTAGTTCTCCGTCAGTTGTCGACTCAAGTGAGGAAGTTCTAACAGGCCCCAAGTCGGTCGTCCCCGAGAACACGACAGCGGTCGTCACTTCACCAGCACGTCCCAGTGCCTCCTCAACGGAATCCACACGAGCCCCTCCCTCCTCAATGGGTATCTCCAGCACACACCCTCGTGGGCCTCCTGCAGCTGTTCAAACATCTGCCACCACCTCCAGGACAAGGTCGACCTCTGTAAGCTCTACAAAGAGCCCTGGGAGTGTAGGCAGCTCCACACTTGCTGCAGCGGACAAGTCTACTCACCCATTACCCAGCATCGCTGTTGCAACCCCATCAGAAACCAGCACTTCATCACCAGGGGTAACCAATGCCTACGTGCACGTGCCTACCTCTGCTGTGTCCCCATCCATTGATGCTGACCCAGCAACGGATCTGTGGGCTAGCCCCACCAGCCCTGTCACCAGCCAAGAGAACCCAGGAGACCTCTCAGCCACTGTTACCAGAAGCACCACCTTTGATACCTCTGCAACAGCAGGCCCAGCAAGGCAGTCCACACCACTCCCACCCAGCAGCTCTCCTCGGGAATCCTTGTCTATGCCCAGCATAGGTCACACTCACGCCACACTGACCACACCAGAATCCCAAGCCATGAGTTCAATCACCCCCGAGACTGACACACCCAATGTGGCAACATCCGCAGCCTCTTCTGCCACACCAAGTGGACCCTCATCCTCAGAAAGCACTCCTCAGGAGGCATCCACCGTGGCTGCGGTGACAACCTCCATCCCTGCACCCTCCAGGGACAGCCACCCAGCCACAGGACCACGGCCAGCACCACCCAGCCCCAGCCCCACCCTCCGGCCCTCCGGAGCCCCATCACTCTCCACAGCAAGCACGGTTTCCCAGGACGCTGCTGTCACCTCCCCATCAGGGGGCCCGGGAGGACAGCAGGCATTGCCTTTTGCAAGCACCTCCCCTGACACAGCCCAAGTCATTTCCCAAACCCAGCAGACCCGAGGCACAGAGACCACCGGGGAGGCTCAGCCCAGCACACCAGCCCCCTCAGTGCCAGACCCCACCGCCGCAGCCACGGCTGCCACGTCTTCCCCCACGGCAAGGGGCACAACCTCTGGAAGGGCTTTCCCGGAAACGGCCACTGCAGCCAAGACCACCGACTTTCCCACAACTCCCTCCAGCAGCAGCCACGCAGCTCCGCCAACGGCTGAGCTGTTGTCCTCTGGCACCAGTCCTGACGCTACCCCTGCAGCCGTAGGAATGAGGTCTCCTGCTGTACCCAGCACCTCTCCTCCTACCATCACTGGGGTCCCGACTGATTGGACAGCGTCTTCCAGGACCCCTCGGGAGAAGCCAGCTGTCTCCCAGATGGCTCACACTCCAAGTGCAGGAGCCACCAGAGGACCTGAAGTCAGCACCTTGGCCTGGCAGCTCACTGACACCTTCTCAGCAGTCACCACGCCACCACCCTCGCCCACAACCACGCCCACTGAGCACACATCACAAACCGAGACTCGCACTCCCTCACCTTCAGGCAGCAGCACAGCCTCTATCCCAACCCCAGGCAGCCACAGCCATGGGAGCCAGACGACAATGCCAGCTTTGTCATCAGGGACAGCAGGAGGGCCATCTGCGGTGGGGCCCACCACCCTGAGAGATGCAGCCCCTAGTTCTCCGTCAGTTGTCGACTCAAGTGAGGAAGTTCTAACAGGCCCCAAGTCGGTCGTCCCCGAGAGCACGACAGCGGTCGTCACTTCACCAGCACGTCCCAGTGCCTCCTCAACGGAATCCACACGAGCCCCTCCCTCCTCAATGGGTATCTCCAGCACACACCCTCGGGGGCCTCCTGCAGCTGTTCAAACATCTGCCACCACCTCCAGGACAAGTCCAGAGAATATGAGTCCTACAAGCATTTTTGGTTCTACACTGTCGTTACCATTTCCACCTTCAACCAAGACCACTCTTGGATCATCTTCAGAATCTAAGCATCCTACTACTCTGCAGGCATCCACAGACTCCTCTTCCTCCTCCTCTACTTCCCTTAGTAACTTAGGTACAACTCAGGCCATACCAAGTTTCCATGCTTCTTCTAGTAATTCTTCATTGTCTCAGTCTGTACCTGGCCCTCCCAGCACCGGGAGTCCTCCTACCCTAGTTCCAGGTCACACTGCTCCCCTGCCAGTTACAACTACTTCCTCCCCACCCACAGCATCTTTGGGCTCCACAACGAAGACCGAAACATCAGGTAGGTGGGGACTCCAGTATCTCTAGTGGCCCACTGGTGCAATTCAGTCTGTAGGGGCACTAGAAAATGTTGGTAAAGCAGCATTGCAGGTTAGAGCTATGGTCAGTCCTACCCCGGGGAGGAGGAAGTGAGCAGCAGGTGTGGTGGGTGACAAGGCCTCATCTCTGCCCCAGTGGAAAACTGCTCATGTAGGCGGTGGTTTGGATATGATAGTCGACAGACCAAGAAGGTTTCTAGCTGTCTCTTCTAGCTCCTGATTTCTCTGAATCTGTTTGACTCTGCTACTCTGACTGTGAGATCCCCTCCTGTCTTCCTACATGTCTAGGAATGATCCCAACCTCACTGTGGATAAATGGTGGGAGAAGCACAGCACTGTCACCGCCCTCAACAACCTCCCTGACCCCTACGAACTCCACGCCCACCACATCCACAGGCTTCCGTTCAACAACTCCCTCTGTCCCCGTCCAGCAGGGACAAGGTGAGTGAGGCTGTGCAGGTGGACCCTCACCACCGTGCGACTGAGCTAGATGTAGACATTATAGTTGTGGCAGTTACATGGGATCTGCCAGGGAAGGCCCTGAGTCACTGGAGAACCAGTTCTCTGTTATCTCCACTGTCCCATCTGCTCCACACATGGCCATGGAGAGGGGATGTAACCAATGTCCAGTCTCAGCCCGTTTGCTCAGTCTCTGCTCTGTCGGTCAAAAAGGCCTTACAGAGGCCCGTGAGGCAGAGCCAAGAGTTGAGCTGATGGCACAGGCTAGGAGCTGGAGACAGAGCAAGGACCAATGTGCCATTCAGCAAGGGCCAGCTCGGTCCTGGCAGGTGCAGTTAGGGGAACTGGCCTAGAGTATTTGGTGCACTCACTGGAAAATCCCTCTGGGATGTGGGCGTGGTTTCCTGGTGAACAGGAGGCTTCCTGGCAGGAGAGTATGGGAGCCAGAGGAGAAGCGCCCCAGGCGGGGGGGTGGGGGGGTCGGGAGGAGAGCCTGAGCAGCTGCAACCAAGGTATGGGGGTGAGCCTAGTCAGGGGTTGTCTTTTGTGCAACTGTGGTGCAGGTGTGAGGGATGAGGCGAGGAGAACAGCAGAGGTGGCTGCAGGAGTCCAAGCAAGAGCAGCTGAGGCACCAACGAGTCGCTGGTGCCAGTACAGAGAGGAGGAGAAATATTTAGGGCTCAAACTGGAGGGCAAGCATTCAAGCGGGTCCCGGGACAGTCTAAGGACTTCTGTCTGGATAAATACCATCTCGGGAAGCAAGTCTTAGAAAAAGGCCGCCTTTCCGTGCCTAATCGTCACTACATAGGAGTTTTGCCTTCCGACTTTAAAAGCATCATGGCTGCCATGACAGATGCAGGGCAGGCTGTTGGAGTTCTGACAGTGGGAATTGTCTTTCTCCAAGAGTGGATCGGGTTAGGGAACAGGTGCGGGTGGAGACGGGGAGAGGAGTCTCCGGCACCTGGCACCCCTCGGGGGAAGCAGAGAGCAAGGGTGAGGAGCGGAGCGGCGTGGGAGACGACCTCTGGGAGACCCCGTGAGGCCGGGATGAGACCAGGGCCCACGAGGACTTCCGACTCTTCTCTCCCGCGGGCCCAGGCGTCTCCCTCTTTCCCTACGGGTCCAGCGTTGGAGACACGCCGTTCGTCAGGAGGACAGTGGACTTCACCTCTCAGCTCTTCAAGCCCCGCATTGGCTTCCCCCTGGGCTCCTTTCTGCGAGATTCCCTCTACGTGAGTCCCCGACTACGCGCAACACATCCGGGGCCTGTGCTCCCCGACCCCGCAGTCTCCGCCCAGGCTGGGGGCGGGGCGAGTGGAAGTCGCGACCCGTGGGCGGGGCGAGTGGGAGCCGGGCGTGCTAGGCTCCTACTGAAGAAGGAGCACACAGTCTGCTTTCGGGTCGGCGCTCCAGCTGGGGGGAACGGGCGGGGAGCGAGGCGAGAGACCTCCCTGTCGGGGCGCACCCCAGCGTCCTTATCCCGGTAGACAGGGTGGACCCCGTCAGCTCCTTGGGGCTTGCTTGCAAGAGGCCTTGTTCCAGGTCAGGGGCTGCCCTGGGGCAGCTTGACTGGTTCCTGCAGTTTCCGTTTGTTGCGATGACTTCCTGGTTCCCGGAGCTGGAGCTGGAATGGCAGGCCTGGCCCCTGCGGCCCTCAGACACTGTGAAAGGGCAGCACAGCGGAGGAGGGAGGGTGTCGATCCCTTTAGCTCTGTCGGCTGTACCCCAAGCTTCAGGATGAGACCGCGGGTTGCAGTCAGGGGTCTCCCACTGAGGCAAGCCAAACCCCACAGCCTCCAAACCCGGCGCTGGGGGAGGGTACTTGTGTGAGATCACCGTGTACACACACAGCCCTCCCTGAATGGTAGCCTTGCAACCCCGTGCTCAGTTCACAGACAACGGCCAGATCATCTTCCCGGAGTCAGACAGCCAGATCTTCTCCTACCCCAATCCGCCTCGGCGAGGCTTCACAGCTTGGGACCCCGTGGCCGTGGTGGCTCCCTTCTGGGACGATGCTGACTTCTCCATCCGTCGGGGAACCATATTTTACCAGGTGGGAGCTGGCCAGGGAGACCAAGGGCCATGTGGAGGGCATTGCAAGGGCTCCAGCTGTCCCAGCCTGGGCTCACAGGGGCTGGCAACAGAGTCTTAGATCAGGGAGAAGAGAGAAGGCCAATGTGGAACACTCAGTTTCAGGAATGCTCCCCACTTCCCCCCAGTCAACCCTGAGAAGACCTGGGGGAGCCAGGGAGGAGGGCTGTGGAATTCAATGTGGTTTGAAATAAGGCTGCAGGGCGTCTACATCAAGCAGGACCTCTCCCGAGCTCCTGGGGGTGGGTTACTAATTCCAGCTGGTGAGAGCAGGGGATGAAAGATACTGCAGCCAATGAGTCTGGTGGTCCTGCCGTGGATAAGGTGCTGCAGAGGCTCCAAAGAGGGGGAGACAATGCCTGTCTCCAAGAAGCCACCAGACATGGAGAAGTAAAAACGGGCAGAAGTGGCCACACTCTCTGAGCTAGTACAGGAGAGATTTGTATTTCTGGGCCAGAAACCTCCATTCCACACCCCCAGGCTTTCCTGCAGCCCATGTTTTCACTGATGTTAAGGTCTGAAAAGCTCGTAAAAATGCAGGCCTGGGACAGGGAAGGATGGGCAGCATGAGGTCTGTGATGAGCGGGGTCCCCAAGCAGAAAAGGGGGCCCTAGGGGTGTCACATGGGCCTCTCATTTCCATTCCCATCTGCCCTCTTTGCACAGGAATATGAGACATTCTATAATGAACACAACCCGCTAGTCTGGCAGGTGGAGTCTTGGATTCGAAGGTTCACAAACTCCTGGAGCTACAAAGCCAAGTGGACCTTAAAGGTCACCTGGGCCAACGCCCCCGCCTATCCTGCCCAGTGGACCTTTGGGGTGAGTGGACCCATAGCAGCTCCCCTGGAGTGACCTGGGAATCCCAGGAAGGAGCTGCTTCGGCAAAGCCCTCTGACTCAGGAAAGAGCACTGACTGTGGCTGCCACAGCCACCCCCACCACTTGCTGAGCACTCATTGGGAGCCAGGCCTCGGCCATTCACAGGGGGACTACAAAGTGTTCATGGAAACAGAATCTAAAAGTATGTTGATTTGGTTGCAAAAAAAAAAAAAAAAGTTGAAATCCATGCCTATGAGGATTCTTCAAAAAGTTCATGAAAAAATATTTATGAACAAACTATTCATGGATTCCAAAATATTCTTGGCACCAACATACACTTTTAGTTCCATTTTTCCATGAATGTTTAAGTTCCCTGTACGTACATGACCCCAGTGAACCAGGTGTTACGAGGTTGGAACACAGGGACTGGCATTTTTGTGGGTCAGACACGGCTGGCTATTGGCAGTTGCACATGACTCAACCCGATGTTGTTTCCCACATTCGAGATGAGGAAGACAGTGGTCAGAGAGGGTAAGCAGCCTGCTCAGGGACACCCAGCTAGCAAATGAGGTCTCAAGTCACTCACTGATTCACTCACTCGACCAACCATTGACTGCCTGCTGTGCACAAGCCCCGTGCCTTCACAGAGCTCCCACGTGCTGCAGGTGCAGGGGACAGTCCGCACAGTGTCCTTAAATATCCCCCAGCAAGCTAAGACCCCTCCCCCCAAGCTCTCTGACATCCCAGCCAATGTCTCAGGATTCTGCAGCTTCTCTCACGAGCCCTCTTCTAACTGGACCCTAACCCACAGCCCTTTATCTCCCCTCCTGGATAAAAAGTCACAGAGGTGGCCGATCCACCAAGGTTTAGTACTTGAATCCCAATCAGAAAGCTGCCCTAACCAATCCCAAGTTTGCCAGCATTTGAAGCCAGGTGGACCAGGAACATGTGATGTGTGTATTGGGGCAGGAGTGGGGGACAACAGGGAGGAGACCCCACGTCTCTCACAGGCATCCCTATGTTTGCCTCCCACCATCTGCCAGACCTGCACCTACCAGGCCATCCTCTCCACCGACGGGAGCACGTCCTACGCACTGTTTCTTTACCAGAGCAATGGGATGCAGTGGGATGTAGCCCAGCGCCCAGGCAACTCGGTCCTCATGGGCTTCTCCAGGTAGGACGGGAGCAGCTGGCAGCCCTGAGCAGGTTACAGGGAGGGTGCAGAACGGGGTTTGCTGCACCAACACCTCTGTGCCCTGGACGAGACGAGGCTCCTCCTTGCTGATGCTTCTGATTCAGGCTGACTCCAGTTCCCACAGAGCCTCCCACCACGCTGTTTCCAATTATAAAGTCTCCACCTGTTCTTCCACTCTCTTCTTTCCTATCCCAATCCTGGTGCAGTGTAATTGTTCCCAGAGCTTTGACTTCCCTGATTCCCACTGACACCGGCTGGCCCCTCTCGACTTCTCAAGTGTCAGAATGATAACGAATGGTGGTAACAGTAGACACCTTGTACTATGCCCACTCTGCAGATAAGAGGGCTGAGATGCAAACAGATCACAGGCTAGGAAGTGGCAAAGCAGGGATTTGAACCAATGCTCGGGGAGGCTGGAGTCTGCCTTCCTGGGAATTCTTCACCTACCTAGAGCATGCAACAGGGGCTGTGGATGGTTGAATGGGGGTTCTTGTGTGTGAGGTGGCCTAGTGTCTGACATAACAGTTCACCAGATGTGCTGGGGTGTGATGGTCACATGTCATTTGTGGCAGGTAATTGCTACAGATTGTCTCTGCCTACACTGGGGTGTGTGCAGGTTGTCCCTGTATTACACTGCTTTCATTGGCTTCTTGATGTGCCATGAAGAAGAAAGGAGTAGAATTACCCTACCAGCCAGGAACTGCACACCATCCTGACACAGCCACGGGAGGCCTTGCCCATGTTATGTGTCATCCAGCCTGTGTCAGACAGGAGAGAAGGCCAGGAGCCAGCACTCTGTGGAGCAATGCTGCAGGTGGCCGCTCCCTGCTGTCCTCCTGGACCTGCCACTGAGGATGGCGGCAGTGGAGGTGGAGGTCTCCGCACCATTGTTTCAGGTCCTCAGGCAGTGCTGAGCGATTAACAAACGTTACCGCACTTAATTCTTACAACACTGTGAAGCAGAAGCTACTGTAATCCCTTTTAAGAAAATATTTTAGCCGGCGTCGCGGCTCAATAGGCTAATCCTCCGCCTTGTGGCGCCAGCACACCGGGTTCTAGTCCCAGTTGGCGCGCCGGATTCTGTCCCAGTTGCCCCTCTTCCAGGCCAGCTCTCTGCTGTGGTCAGGGAGTACAGTGGAGGATGGCCCAAGTGCTTGGCCCCTGCACCCCATGGGAGACCAGGATAAGCACCTGGCTCCTGCCTTCGGATCAGCGCGGTGTGCCGGCCACAGCGGCCATTGGAAGGTGAACCAATGACAAAGAAGATCTTTCTCTCTGTCTCTCTCTCTCACTGTCCACTCTGCCTGTCAAAAAAAGAAAAAAAGAAAAAAAAAGAAAATATTTATTTGAAAGGCAAATACAGAGAGAGAGAGAGATATTGTTCATCCACTGGTTCACTCTCCAAGAACCCACAACAGCTAGGGCTGCAACAGGTCAAAGCCAGGAACCCAGAACTCCATCCGGGTCTCCCACGTGGGTGTTAGGAACCCAAGTACTTGAGCCATCATCTACTACCCGCCATGGTGCACATTAGCGGGAAGCTAAGTGGGGATTCAAACTCAGGCACTCCAGTATGGGATGCAGGTACCCCACGTGGTGTCTTAACCACTGTGCAGATGTCTGCCCCAGCTGTGACCCCTTTGACTCAGATGTGGGCACTAAGAAGAGAGCTTAAGTAACTTACTTGCCTGTGGTCACCAAGCTAGTTAGTTAAGTGCTAGACTCCACAGGTGAGCCCGTGGCTGGCTAACTGCAGAGACCACTCCCCCTCTCCCAGTGTGCTGTCCCCTCGCCTATGCTTCTCCAGTTCCTGGGTGCGGGGAAACAAGCAGAAAGGAACTCTGCTGTTTTCGTGCCCCTCCCTCCTGGCCACGTGGGTCTGCCAGTTCCTTGCAGGCAGGAATCAGATGGCCGATGGCCTCAGCCCACTGCCCGTGCGCCTCGTCCCCCCTCCCGCTCAGGCTGAGCGGCTGACCGTGCAGTTGGCCGGCCAGCGGCTGGCTGCTGAGGAGCTGGACGCATGAGTGCGGACGGGCTGACCAAGCAGCTCAGCGAACGATCGGCCTTTCAGCTCAGAGTTTGCGCTCGGGCGGGTCGTGCACGCCGACGCCTGACAGCTTTTCCTTTGCCTGCAGTGCAGACGGGTATTTTGCCAACAGCCCGCTGATTTCCCGGCCAGTGTGGGAGAGGTATCGTCCGGACCGATGGCTGAATTCCAAACTAGGTAAGAGGGCTGCCTGATGACACTGTGGAGGTGCTCTCTCCACTCCGCCCACCACGGTGGTCCTGAGGACAGCTTGCTACCCTCTCCTCCACCCCAAAGACTGCCCACAGCTTGCACGGTGGGGCCTCCTACAGGGGTGCTTAGGACCCAGTACTCCTGGGAGCAGACAGTACCCTCCATCCCTCAGACACAGGACGGTCTCAGTGGGGGCTGTGTTTCCTCCCTCAGCAGAGACACCTGTCCTGGAAGTGAGACCAGGGTGCTGTGGGAGGCGGGGTTATGAACGGGCAGTTGGGACAAGACCATGCTAGCAGCCAGGAAAATGAGAAACAAGAGAAAGCCAACTGCTACTGGCTCTCAAACAGCTTGTAATTGGGTAAAAAGCCAGACTGTGGTGGCTGGTCCACGGCTCAACGTGATGCCTGGAGGCCCCGACAGTTCCCAGAGGGTGAGAGAAGAAAGGACGTTTGGGCATAGACATCAGCCGTGTCAACTGTGAAGCATTTTTGAGGTCCTGTTCGTTTTGTGGCAACAGTTTTTGGTAACTGGAAACATGAGCTAAGTCAAGGCCCCGTGCCAGCTTACGGAGAGGGCTGCCCGTCACATCAGGGCCGTCTCACGAGATGCATCTGTGAGCCAGAGGTGCACTGCGATAGTGTTGTGCGTGCATGCATGTACGTGCACGTGTGTGTGTGTGCGTGCCTGTGTTGGGGCGGAGTATCTGATGTGTTTCTTCTGACACCAGGCGGAGAAGATACATGAGCAGATTATCATAAACGATGATTATTCTTCTGAAAATCTTAACAAATTGTGGTTATGTCGATCATTTCTTCACCTGTGTGGATACAGGGTTAAAATCTCCTGTGCTGTATTGTGTCCTCTCTGGCTGTGGAATCCCCTTGCTACCGTTCGGCTGGGGTGGGCAGCATGTAGCTTCCCGGGGTTAAAGTCTCACGTTGAACCCCCAGCGGGGTTTCTCCTTCCAGTCTGGGCACAGGGGCGGTTTCCTTGGCCTCATGGCATTGGAGCAAGCCCCTGCACCCACCTCTGTGCACTGGGAGGGAGGGAGGGTGAAGGTTCAAGGCCCAGTGTCTGATCGTGTGACCAGCAGGGGGATGGTATCCCTGACTGAGGCACGAGCTGTGTGAGGATGTGATTTGGGGGGACTGGAAGGTGTTGGAGCCCACAGCGACAGCGGGGTGGGCCAGGGTTGGCTCGGAGCTGTGTGCAGGCGAGCCCTCACTGCCCAGCACTTGCCCCAGGGTTTTATCCTAAGATCCAGGATTTGAAGGCTCAAGGGCTTGCATCAAAGGGGCTTTGGGGAGGAACCATTGCCAGTCTCAGCTGAATCCCCCCATCTCTGAGCTGTCCAGAGAGGTGGGGAGTGGCCCGAGGGTGTGTGTTTAGGAGCTGTGGCTAACACTAGAGCTAGAGCAGGCCTGAGGCCCCGGGCTCTGGGGCTGACCCCCTTCCCTTGCTCCTGCAGGCCTCCGGGGGCTGCAGATCTACAGGCTCCACAGGGAGGCGATACCCAACTACTATCTCAAGTGCCAGCAGTGGCTGCAGAGCCAGCCTCAGTGGCCCAGCTGGAACTGGAACCAGATCTCCTGCCCTTGCACCTGGCAGCAGGGACGATGGGACTTACGATTCCGGCCTGTGGGCTCAGGTGACACCTTCCTGTCCCCACAGCCTACCCACCTACCCTCTGCTCATGGCTGACCCCCAGCAGCCTCTCCCCAGAAACACTCCTCTGCCCCACCCCAGGCATCCCCCAGCCTGGACCTCATGTGTCTGCCCTTGTTGCAGGCTGGTGGGGCCATGGCGGCGGCCGGAAGCTGTGCCGCTTCTCCTCCTGGCAAGGAGGCGTGTGCTGCAGCTACGGGCCCTGGGGAGAGCTTCGCGAAGGCTGGGGAGTGGACAGTCCTTGGCACTTTGGTAAGTGCGCCCATGGAGAGCTACTCCACCTGCTCGCGAGCCCACGGCTCTGCCCGGCCCAGCTGTGGAGCACCAGAAATGCCTCTTGTCCCCCTTGCCCGAGTTCTATCCACCCCGATCTTAAAGTTATGAAACGCCCAGCATCCCTGCCTGCTGACTGCTAGGGACTGATGCTGAGGGGCGTCTGCCCCCTCCCCCTTGGCCCTGTGGCCCCAGTCCAGGATGGGGACGTCTTCCTGGGAAAAGAGCGAGGCCCGGGTCTAACCCATCCCTCTGGTCCCACACTGGCAGACTGTGTGAGGCAAGACTGTGGGGCAGCTCCCTCCAGACCCTCCAAGGAAGGGCGCTCAGGAGCCCCTGGGGTGCAGGGTTGGGGGCAAAGTCTCTGTGTCCTTCCAGCCTCCCCCGTCCCCTCGCAGTCTCCGTGGTCCCTGACCATCAGTCAGGCCCTCCCACTGTGTGCCCCACTGCACAATGGCCCCGACTCACCTGCAGGCCACGGGGGCCTCCAGTTGGCCATTCACTGTGCAGGGTGGGATTGGGACAGTTGCGGGCAGGTGCCACAGCCACGCTCCTCTGCTTCCCGCTCCCAACACCGCCGTGCCTAACCCCGCCCCCTGCGGCTGGTCCCCCCCCGCCCCGTCCCTGTGGCCCCCAACATGCTGCTCTTCCCCACAGAGCAGGAACTGGAGGCGCAGAACTGGTGCTGCCGCTGGAACGACAAGCCCTCCTTCTGCTCGCTGTACAAGCGGAGGCGGCCGCCCGTCAGCTGTGCCGGATACAGGCCCTCCAGGCCGGGTGAGGGTCGAGGCCCAGCTGCAGCATCTGGGGCAGTGCTTGCCTCTTGACCTTGGGGTCAAGGAGCCTGAATCAGGAGAGGCCCGGCCTCCTGGGGCAGAGCTGTAGCCACAGGGGATGCGGGCGACAATTCCGCGTGGGGCTGGTGTGGGTATGTGTGACTTTGCACATAGCATTGGCGGAAGGGGAGAGGGGCCCCCGAGGGCAAGAAGTCCTGGAGGAGGCGTGCCCTCCTCCATGCCCCCTCCCCAGGCAGATGCTGTTCCTGGGGAGCGTGGGCGAGCTCAGGCCTGACCCCCGGCTTGCTAATGTGGTACCCCCTGTTTTCCCAGGTTGGATGTTTGGGGACCCCCACATCACCACCTTGGATGGCGCCAATTTCACCTTCAATGGTCTGGGGGACTTCCTGCTGGTCCGGGCCTGGGACGGGAACTCCTCCTTCCTGCTGCAAGGCCGCACTGCCCAGACCGGCTCCGCCCAGGCCACCAACTTCATTGCCTTTGCAGCTCAGTATGAGTCCAGCAGCCTGGCCCCCATCACGGTGAGGGAGAGGTGCCCACATGTCCCTGCATCCCCCCACCCTGACAGGGGCCTCCAGCTGCAGCCTGAGACCCGGGAAGGGGATGAGGGCAAAGAAAGGGAAGCAGGCGGGTGGGAGGACACGGGCCAGCCAAGAGAGCAGCCCCAGAGGAAGACCTGGCCCTGGCTCCTCCACTTACCTGAAGCTCACTTTGAAGGAGCTGCTTAGCTTCCAGTGCCTCGGTTTTCTTCTGATAAAATGGGGACAATACCTCGCTCGAGTGGCTGTCGTGAGATTTGAATGAGATCATCCAAGAGATGTGTCTAGCACCCAGACTGCCATGCAGGGCCCTCCACAGGTGTCAGCGGGCACAATCTCACTGCCACCCTCTCATCACCTTCCTCTGCCTCCGGGGCTCAGGTCCAGGCCTGAGCACTTCTCTTGGAGCCTCCTTCCTAGCTCTCTGCTCCCCCTGTCAGTCCAGCTCAGGACTCCTATTCCCTTCCAGGTTCAATGGTTCCTGGAGCCCAATGACACAATCCGTGTGCTGCACAATAACCAGACTGTGACATTTGAAACCGACCTTGAAGATGCAGAAGGTAGGCTGGGGAGAGTGGCCAGCCGGCCTCTCCTGTATCCCCGGGCGGGAGCGCAGCGGGCTGCCCAGCACCCTGGGGGCAGAGTGTGAGGGCATGGAGGCAGCAGCGTTGGGCGGAGCAGGCCACCCTGGCTGTGCCGTCAGCAGCTGGGCTGCCCGAGGAACACCACCATCCGTGCAGTGCTGGGGTCCTCTCCTTTGCTAACACCCAGCTCCAGGCCCCAGGAAGAAGGAGTGGTCCGGGCCCTGGGGTGACCCTTGTATGTAGTTTGGGGCCACTAGGATAAAGCCCCACTATGACATCCCAAGGCCGTCCTGGGGTCTCCTCTCTGCCTCGGGGGTCCAGCCGCCACCTGGTCTGGTGGCCACAGGGTCCCCGTGCTGGCTGCTTCCTCACCTGTCTGCCATCCTGCAGGCCAGGAGATTTTCAACACCACCGGGGTGCTGCTGACCCGCAATGGCTCTCAGGTCTCAGCCAGCTTTGATGGCACGGTGGCCATCTCGGTGATGGCTGTCTCCCACCTCCTCCACGCCTCCTCCAGCCTCCCAGAGGAGTACCAGGGCCGCACGGAGGGCCTCCTGGGTGAGTGGCAGGGGTGCAGACCCACACGGATACCTCTGCAGGGCTCCCCCTGCCTGCATGGAGTGGCCACCTCTGAGGTTCACTTCCTGTCCTCTCCCCCCGACCTCCCGCCTGGGCCGCAGCAAGCATGGGCTCTGGGGCAGGCGCCCCACCCCATTTTCCCTTCCTTTCTGCAAATCCCTCCTGTCTGCCTCCATTTCCTCCTTCCTTTCTCCTCCTCCCTCCCCAGAGCTGCGGTGTGCGGTGTGGCCCCTCTTCTCCTCCCCGAGGCCTGAACCCCAAACAGAGGTACCTGGCACAGGCTGCCCAGGCCCCTCGCACCCTCCTGGGGAGGGGGGGCCACTCCCAGAGCATGCAGCCTCCTCCTGTGCCCTCAGGGCTCTGGAACAACAATCCCGATGATGACTTCCGGATGCCCAATGGCACTTCCGTGGCCCGCGGGAGCTCCGAGGAGCAGCTTTTCCACTATGGGATGACCTGTGAGTCTGGGCCGCAGGGCGGGGCGTGGGAGCCAGGTGCAGTGTCCCCTCCTCTGTCAGGTTGGGGCCAAAGGCCAGGGGGAGGCCTGAGGGTGCTGGTGCCCACCCCTACCCCCACCCACTTTGTCCCCTCCACCCCCTCCCACCTGGAAGAGGCCTGGGAAGCAGGTGGCCCTTCCTCCAAGGGCAGAGATTTGCAGGCTCCGATGCTGGAAGCCATTCTGTCCCTCGACTGCCCTCCCTAGCCCTGAACACAGAAAGTGAGGATGAGGTTGGGGAGACACAGCAGCAACCGGCAGCAACCTCAGCCCTCTGCCTTTGCACCCGGGTGTTACAGGGAAGCTCAACGGGACAGGCCTCCTTGGCCAGAGGGACGACCAGCTGCCTCCCACCTTCACCCCTGTCTTCTTCTCCCAACTGCTGGACAACAGCTCCGGGGACCCGGCTCTGGTCTCTGGGTGCAGTGGAGACAGACAATGCATCTATGACGCCCTGGCCATGCGAGACGCCGGTGCAGGCATCCACACCAGGACACTGTTTAGAACGTACCGGCAGATGAACGCCACCCAGAGTGAGTGCCGAGGCCCGGTGAGGCCTTCCCAGCAGTGGGGAGAGCCAGGGAGCGGGACACACCTACCAGCGAAGCGTTTTTATTAGCTTTTACTCATGTGACCGCCCATGCTCCCAACCCCCCAGTGACTCCCCAGCTCACTCCACCCTGCTCCCTCCTGCAGCCTCACTGGCTTCTTAGCATTTTCCAAACATGCTGCAGGCTCACTGTCAACTCCCACACTTTGCAGGAGCTGTTCGCTTGCATGGAATGCCCTTCCCCCATCAGCCACAGCCCCCTCACCTCCTCAGAGCCTTTATTCCAATGTCACCTCTCTGTGAGGCCTCTCTTTTCCTTTCCTTTTTTTTTTAAGTGTTTTTAAAGATTTTACTTATTTATTTGAGAGGTAGAGTTATAGACAGTGAGAGAGATAGAGAGAAAGGTCTTCCATCTGCTGGTTCACTCCCCAAATGGCCGCAACAGCCGGAGCTGCTGAGCTGATCTGAAACCAGGAGCCAGGAGCTTCCTCCATGTCTCCCATGTGGGTGCAGGGGCCTTGGGCCATCTTCTACTGCTTTCCCAGGCCATAGCAGAGAACTGGATCAGAAGTGGAGTAGCCGGGATTAGAACCAGTGCCCATATGGGATGTGGGCACTGCAGGCAGAGGATTAACCCACTGTGCAACAGAGCCACCCCCCCCCTTTTTTTTTTTTTTGAGATTTATTTATTTAAGAGAGAGAGAGAGAGAGAGAGCTATCTTACATCTGCTGGCTCACTTCCCAGATGGCCACAATGGCCTGGGCTGGGCCTATTTGAAGCCAGGAGCCAGGAGCCTCCTCTGGGTCTCCCACATGAGTGTAGGGGCCCAAGAACTTGGACCATCTTCTACTGCTTTCCCAGGCGCATTAGCAGGGAGCTGGATCAGAAGTGGAGCAGCTGGGACATGAACCAGTACCCATATGGAATGCTGGTGCCGTAGGCTGTAGTGCTAGCACCTCTCTTTTTCTTTTAAAATAGCTACAAGCTTATTTTATTTTTTATTTGAAAGGCAGAGAGACACAGAGAAGGAAAGACAGAGACAGAAATAGAGAGAAAGGTCTTCTGTCTGCTGGTTTCTTCTGTGAATGCTTCCAGCAGTCAGGGCTGAGCCAGGCTGAAGCTGGGAGTCAGCAGCAACTCAAACTGAGTGTCTTTCGTGGGTGGCAGGAATCCAAGTACCCGAGCCATGGCCTGCTGCCTCCCGGGGTGCACGTTAGCGGGAGGCTGGGTCATTAGTGGAGCCAGCATTGAACCCAGGCACTCTGCTCTGATGTGGGATGTGGGCATCGCACAAGCTGTCTCAGCTGCCTCAGTGAGCTCTCCCGTGACTGCCCTATGTAAAACTTCACGTTCACCCACTTCCCACTCACCTTGCCAGCTTTACTTCTTCTCTGTAGCATTTATAACTAAGATATGTCGTCATTTTCATACATACCGTTTTTAGTGTTTGTTCATTACTTTGTCTTAGAATGGTGCCAGCCACTTATTAGATGCTCAATAAGTACTTGTCAAATGCCTGATTGGATGAATGAATGAAGAAATAATGAAATGGAAATAGCAGGGCTCCCAGAATTGGAGACCAGAGCAGAGATTCTAGTCCCTGTCTCCTTCCAGACAAACGCAGTGTCCATTTGGATATGAGCCTCGTGGCCTTCAGTCCTTTCCCGAAGGCAGAGCTCTGTGCTGGTCTGAACAGTCCTGCTCTCTGCTTCAGGTCATGCCATGCCTGCATAGTACTCCTGTTCAGCAAAGACTAGAACAGGGCCCTGTCTGAAGAGGAAGTAGAAAAAGAGAGGCTGAGGATTTGGCCGGGTGAGCGGTACGGCCCCAGCCTGCTCTGCGTGGGTCTGTGGGCAGGTGCACAGGGTACTTCTTGCTTCCAGAGGTGGTCTCGGTCCTGGGAATGCCTCACACACGTCGTAGCTGAGGAAGAGAGAGGAGAGGCTGGGAAGGCAGCAGTGTCCAGCCTCAGACCCCGAGTCCCCTCTTTGCGTTTCAGATCAGTTCCCGCCCTCCATCAAGGGCGAGCATGTGATTTGCGCCTATAAGGGGAAGAGCGTGTGGATTCCGTACACCAGCGACTCGGAGAATGTTGTGTTCACGCTCAGAAACAACTGCACTGACATCAAGCTCTTCGGTCAGAACCTGTGCCGGGGGGGGGGGGGGGGGGGGGGCAGAGTCAGGCTTTGGGGAATTTTGCGTCTCTGTACCCTGCACGAGTTCCTGTCACTTTTTCACTTGACTATCAAGGAGCAGCAGTTCTAAAAATGACACCAGGAATTCAGATAGGTGTCCCCAGTGAACCGGAGGGGTGGGCCTGCAGAGGACTGGGTCAGCACAAGTGATTCAAAGATCATTTAATCTCGACCTCACACTATGCAGTCAGCTTTCATCAGTGTTACGCAGTCGCCAAATTATTAGAGTGATCAAGTATAATTTAACAATGGTGATTTATAATATTTTCGTATCTATTAACAGAAAGATACAATGTGGAACAAGGATTAAAGAAATATAGATGCCTTCATTTGGCACCGTCCTTAGTCTTCTTGTTAACCACGCTTCCCTGGCTGTCTCTCCCTGGCTGATTTTCTGTGCTGGAATCAGCAATGCTTCCCCCTTCCCTCTCCGTAAGGGTGTTGGAGGCCCTGGCCTGTCTCCTTGACCTGGGCGGAAGAGTCCAAGCACAGGGATGCAGCTCTTCTTCGAGGCCAGCTCTGCTAAACCAAAGCCCTCGGGGACCTTCTGAGCTCTGACCCCTCTCTGCTTCCTGTTCTTTGCCCGTGTGTAAGAAGGGCCTGCCTCGCTGCTGTCGCACGCAGCGGCCTCCCTAGTGTATGACAGTGGTGTCAGGATACTTTTCTTTCCCACTGTGCTCCTCTCCTGGACAGCGCTGGTCTGTAAGTCACTCGTGTCTGTCCCCTGCTGTCAGCTCCCGGCACCTGCTGTCCTAAGGAGACATTCCTGTTTTCTTGAAAAGTGTAAGACGGCTTTCATCAGAAGGTGCCCTGTGGTGTTTCACTGACGTCTGGTGTCTGAAGGGGTAATCAGAGGCCCAGGGAGTGAGCGGAGGGAGGTGAGAAATCGGGGCGATGAGTGGGAGGCAGTGAGGTAAAGCAGTAGGGCCAGCAGGGCAGCCTGGGGCAGTGTCAGCAGGTCTTGGCCCTCATTCTCTGTCACCCAGGGCGTCCCATTCTGGTGCAGGCCCTGGCTGGGTCACCCTCTGGGGTCTCTTGGGGGGAATCTCCTTCCCCCTGTGGAGTTGCTCCCCACAGTCAGGCAACTGGGGACAGCTGCACCTGCCTCCAGCTTGCAGCACCCAGGACAGCAGCCTTGTTCCAAGGACAGGCCTGGTGAGGTCGGTGGGGTGGAAGTGTCAGGTGCCAGGAAATCCCAGGGTCCCAGCTCTCAGTGATCCCATCCTCCCTGGGCAGAGAATGGCACATTGCTGTGGACCCCGAAGTCACTGGAACCGTTCACTCTGGAGATCCTAGTGAGAAGCACCAAGACGGGCCTCTCGTCTGCCTTCCAGCCCCAGACCGTGCTCTGCGCATGCAGTGCAGAGAGCCAGTGTCTGTACAACCAGACCAGCTGGGTGGGCAATTCCTCCCTCCAGGTGAGACTAGGGTGGGTGTGGTGGGGGAGGGGCAGGGGAGATTGCGCGCTGAGGGGAGGAAGTAGAAAATGGAAGGGATACCAGGTTCTGCCTCTCCTGAGTAAGCCACGTGTTGGGAGGTGGATGGAGCAGGCACCATTCTCAAGCCATGAAATCCCATGGCAGGAGATAGAACATTTTTGATTGCTTAAAATTCAACTGAACTTTTATGTCCCACCTCCCATTCTGCCAGGCTGGCAGGAAACATCTATCTCAGCCTTTCCCACAGCTCCAGCGGCTCCCGTTCCCTCCAGTGGGGTGAACCCAGCGAATGGGCACAAGGTGGGGGAAGAAGTCTGTGCAGTTCCTGGGCGTGAGTCTGCACAAGTTCCCATCACGGCTCTGCCATCAGCCCCTGGAGCCGCTCGGCTGCTCCTGGGCCGAGCTCAGATGCAGGCCGCCGCCCGAGCGGCCGCTCCCGGGGCTGTCGGCCAGAGCTGCACGCGGCCGGTTCTCGCTGGGGCCTCATCACCGCAGTGTTGGGAAGAGAGGCACGGGTCCCTCTATCCTGATATCCTCAGACCCCTTTGCTTTCTACGCTGCTGTCTGTCTCCTGCTGAGGAAGCATCTCTTTCTCAGTTCAGAGGAACTCCTTGTGCATTTAGGTTTCTGGCCAAGACACTTGGTCTCATCCTGAATCTTGTCCCCGTGTGCTTTTTCCCCCACCCTCCCTTCCCTTCCTGTCTTACTCGGGAAAGGATTTGGGGCAAGCAGATACAGCATGCGAGGGAAGAAGCTGAGCCCTGGTGCAGGGCCAGGCAGGGGTCAGGATAAATGGCCCAGGGAGGGTGGGGTGGCTTTAGACAGGGTCCTGGTCAGGGTGGCGCTGAGCAGATGTTGGCAGAACTAAGACAAAGACACAAGGTCCACTGACGTCAGAACAGAAGCATCGCGCAGCCCTTAATGGCTCACCTGCCTCCCAGCCGCCCAGTGATCGGCCACTCGTTCCAGGTGGCTGACTGCAAGTGTGATGGGGACACCTTTGGCCGCTTCTGTGAGCGCTCCAAGGACCCCTGTGAGGAGGAGTGCTTCCCTGGCGTGAGCTGCGTTCCTGAGCGAGGCTGCGAGGCCTGCCCCATAGACATGACCGGAGACGGGCGGCACTGTGCAGGTGAGCCGGGAACATGCCCAAGACAGGACCAGGCGCTGGGGCCCAGGAGAGCCAAGGCAAGCCGTTCTCTCGCTCTTCCTGCAAGTCTTTAGACAGATGGGGGTGGAAAGGAGGGCTTGGGCAGGCGGTGGTGGGTGGAAGAAAGGCTGCAAAGGCATAGGGGAGGGGCCGGGGCAGAGTAGCCCGGCAGCATCGATGGGAAAAACCCAGGGCAGGAGGCTGACGATGGCTGGGAGAAGGCTGGGGACCCAGTGGCTGGGGCTGCTTGGGGGTCTCCAGGGTCTCTGCACCTAGGAACATTAGGGGGAGCTCATGCGGACGCAGCAGCAGAGGTGCCTCCGTTCCCCTTCCAGTCCTCTCCCAGCTGCTGCCTCTCCACCTCAGACCACTGCAGCCATGGTCACAGGGCGGCTCCCCACACGGCCCCCACGCATCACACAAAGTCAGGAGCAGGCCAGAGTGGGCAGAACCCCTGCCTTATAAAGGCAGACAGGAGGTGGCAGGGAGGGAGGCCTTCAGGGGCCATCCTGGCACACACGTCCCTCCTGCAGAGGGGGACGGGCAGCTCCCCGGCAGATGGACAGGGCTGCCCGGCAGCAACATGCCTGGAAAGGGGGAGAGGGTAGTTTGGGGTTCAGAGTGGCCCACAAGCAGCACAGAAACTGGGTAGGCACGAGGGGAAGGGACCCAAGCCTGTCCCGAGAGCAAGTTTGCCCAGGCCGGGGGCTCCTCCCCACTGCGGTACCACCATGCTGCGGCTGACCTCACGGCTCCCTCTGCAGCCCTGGAGAACTCCGACCTCTGTCAGAACCACTCTTGCCCTGTGAATTACTGCCACAACCAGGGCCACTGCTACATTGCCCCGACGCTGAGCTGCCAGCCCTCCTGCACCTGCCCCCCAGCCTTCACTGACGCCCGCTGCTTCCTGGCTGGGAATAGCTTCACTCCAACCACCCATCAAGGTACAGCCAGGTGGCCCTGCCATCCCCACGCCCACCTCCACACTGCTGTCACCTTTGGGGTCCAGGACTAAGTTCCTTCAAATCCACAGGGCAGAACCCCCCCGTTCTCTTGGGTGGTGATGAGCTGGGGGACACCCTGGGGGCGGCCATCCCAGCATGAGCCATGGGCCTGAGCAGTCTGCTGAACAAAGGCTGAAGCAGGGACGGCATGGCTCGGCGGGATGAGAATCATGGAAACTCTGGCCATCACAGGACGGGCACAGGGGTGAGGCCCAGGGGACCCAGGCACTGCCAATTTCTCCAGCGGCCTCTGTCACTGTGGAATGCAGCAGGTGCATGGGCTGGTCCAATGGACTTCTTGGGTAAGTCCAGGTAAACCCTGACTGATGACGAATTTGCTTCTCCCATCTCCAGAGCTTCCCTTAAGAACCATCCAGCTCTTGCTCATCGAAGATGAAAATGCCTCCGTAGCAGAGGTCAACGCCTCGGTCAGTGCTGCGGGCCCAGCTCCCGGCAGGTTCAAATGAGGGCTGGACCAGCACCTGTCTGTCCCTCATCGAGATGCAATCACCGGAGGAGCCTATGGCCTTTTGGCCCCGGAGCGGGGAGGGCCTGGGGGTTAAAAAGTCAGGAAAGCTGGGGACAGAGACCACAGAGTCGAGGGTGCCAAGCCACCCCAGCTGCTCCCGCTGAGCACCCCTCCAGACCTGCACTCCTTGGGTAGTATGTGGGGGAAGCAACACGAGCTTTCCCTGACTTCCCAGAGGACACTGGGGGCTCCCTCTCCCTGATGCCCACATCCTGTCCATCCCTCAGTCACAGGCAAAGTTACCAGTTATTGTGTGGTTGAGGATTCATGTCCCTGCTCTACCACTTGCTAGAACACATGTGTTTGACAAATTATTTAGTGGCTCATTGGTAAAAATAGGAATAATCATAGTTCCAGTGCTTATCAAGGTTCAAATGATGATGTTCTGTGAAGCACCAAGCATGGTGCCTGAATTACGATATGCATTCAAAAACTATTATCACTGCCATTCTCACTGCTATTGCTGTGGCACACCACACACTATATGGTAACCTCGCCCGACATCTGTCTACCACATCAGACCAGGAGCTCTGGGGTACAGTTCAAATCCTGGCTCGTTCTTTGAGAGCACATGGTTCCCATCGGCTCCAAAGCTGACCGTCCCCTCAGTCCGCCTAAACCACTGATGTCCGGGAAACCTGCAGGGAGGGGAGGCCAGGCAGGGGCTGTCACGCCAGGCAGAGGAGTGGGGGAAGAATGTAGAAGCCTTGACTCACCAACAAATATTAGGCAAATACCAGCATCCGTTTCTGAGCTGGACTGGGGTGTGGGGATGCAGAGATGGGTGAGAATGTTCTGGGGGTCCCGGGGCCCAAGTCTCAAAGGCAGACACAGACATCGAAGTGGATCGGGCCTCACCACTCACCACCTTCCCATCCGCTCGTCCTCCACTGCAGGTGGCCTACAGGCTGGGGACCCTGGACGTGCGTGCCTTTCTCTGGAACAGCCTAGTGGAACCAATGTAAGCGGGACTGCCCCCTGCCTGCCCCACCCCCACCAGCGTCTTCTCCCCACACACCCTTTGCCCCTCACTGTCCTCTCGCACACAGCGCCTCTCCGGCCCCCGGCTCGGGAAGCCTCATTCAGCGCTGGAAGGTCACCTCGCATTTCCAGTACCGGCCTCAGGGCCCTGTCATCGACTTCCTCAACAACCGGCTTCAGGAGGCAGTGGTGCAGGCCTTCTTCCTGCAGGCTCAGAGGAGGAGGTGGAAGAGGAGCGAGGGGCCCAGGAACAACGTGCTCTTCTACCCCATCTCAAGGGTGGACGTGCATGATCTCGCAGCGCGTGAGTCCCTCCACCTGGAGGAGGGGGAGGGGAGGGGCCTGCCACAGGCCTGCAGCCCACACAGGCCACAGTGGGAAGGTGTGGTTTGGTGGCTTCATTTTGCCATTTTCAAAAGAAAAAAAGTTTTTTCCACATTGCTCATTTTCCTTTTTATTTGAAAGAGAAACAGATTCCCTACCTGATAGTTCACTCCCCAGAATGTCTGCAACAACAGGACTGGGCCAGGTGACCCCACCATCAGAGTCTCTTACATAGGTGGCAGGGGCCCAAGATAACACCTGCTACCTCCCAGGGTTCACACCAGCAGGAAGCTAGATTGGAAGTAGCTGAGGCAGGACTTGCACCTGGGATGCGACTGTTCCAAGCAGCAACTTGACCGCTGTGCCAAACGTGCACCCCACCCCAGCCCACCCAGATAAGTTTTAGACATTTAACCCTCCCGTCTGTAGATTCCGGGCAGGAGCACCACATGCTGCTGAGGCATGTGCAGGCGGACGGCTTCACAGAGCATTTAGTTACTCCCGCAGGGCCTCTCCCGACTCCTGCTCTAAGGGTTTTCTTTCCTTTTGAAAATGGCTAGCAGTTTGCTTAAAAGACTATAGCACTTACGCCACCCAAAGACAACCCCATCGCCTTGGCCCTCCAGCTGGAGGTGTTAAACTGGAGACTGGCCAGGGGCGCAAATGTCGCCCTGCCTGCAGGCACGACCCAGAGGCGGTCTTCTTCCCAGGCAGGGCCTCCGCACCCCATCTGGAAACTGACATGGAGCTTCTGAGGCCCCTTTTAGCTCTCGCAGCCCCTGGTTCTTCCCGAACAGGAACGAGGGAGAGAAACCAAGGGGCCACCCTGTTTTCTGGAATGGGAGAGTGAATAGAACAGTGACCATTCCAAGCACCAAACTATTGCTGTTTTAACATGGGCTTCTAGAATCCAGGTTAAGTGTCCTCCCTGCTGGGACAAGGCGCGGGCCCTCAGAGCTGCTGTATGCTGGGAGTCGCGTTGGGAGAAGGGGGAGGCAGCCCTGCGGATGCAGTTTGTTTAGGAAAGTCCACAATTCTTCATTACGCATCAACACTATCACAGAAACTCGGGAGACACCAGTTAACAAAAAGAAGAAAAATAACCTGTAGCCCCTCCCCAGCGACAGCACTGTACACATCCTCTGAACTCACGTGTGAGGATCGCCACTCACATGGATGTTCATTAAGGGACTGAATCAGACCTAGTGCGGCCAACCCCCCCACCGAACAATTGTGAACATATTACTTCCTAAATGTGTGTGGAGTCCCATTAGATATTTTATACCAATGTGCTTGCATTTAGTGCCTGATGATGCATTTAAAAATATAATGATCTAATAGGTACTGTGTATTGAGTACCTGCTGTGTGTCATGTCTTATACTACCTCATTTAAACCTCACAGCAAGGTTAGTGTTATTATTAATTTCCTCTGAAAAATACAATAAACTGAGGCTCAAAGCAGTAAGATAGTTCCCCTGGCCCATACGCGTTAGTAGGAGAGTTTGAATTTCAACTCAGATCTGACCAACTTCAAAACCTGCTCATCACCAATGCATTTTCCATCCCATCAAAACTGACACGGCCTGGGCAGGGATGTGCAGTAACTGACTTAACTCCCATTAAACATTACTGTTGTCGTCACCCCCGCGGATCTGTGTATCCATGGACACGTGTTGATGCACTTTTCCAATGAGCTCTCAGATCAATGCCTGCCGTGGAAGTCTCGATTGAAAAGGTGTTAACTTAACCCATGACACTCCATGTTCATCTGGGTCCTCCCTGACAGTGAATGTGAGCACGCTGGAGACATACCTCAAATGCAATGGCTACGAGGGCTACCACCTGGTCTACGGCCCCCAGAGCGGCTTCACCTGCACGTCCCCGTGCACCGAGGGCTACTGTGACCACGGAGGCCAGTGCCAGCACCTGCCCGACGGGCCCCGCTGCAGGTAGGGCCGGGGGGAGGAAGTGCAAGACAGGGCTGGGGAATCCAAGCCAGGCAGGACCCTCAACAGGGATCCGGGAGTGCGATGGTAACTGGTGGCCAGTGACAATCAGGAGGCCTCCTTTGTAATTAGAGAGAGCTGGGGCCAGAGGCAAAGGGATCATAGAAGAGGAAAGCCCATGCCTGCTGGGTTACCTCTGAAGCTGATGGGCCCCGAGGGGGTGTGGTGCCCACTGCAGCTTGCAGGTGACTGGGACCCTTCCAGGGCTCCCGGTAAGCTTTGCAGCAGGCCATGGTTTCCAAATCAAACTCTTCCACCCGGTTTTGCTTCTGCCGTCTCTGAGGGGAGAAGGAACCTACAGTCTTGTGTCCAGGGCCAGCACTGCCCGTCCCCCCAACCTCCCCGCCCCCGCCCCGTGAGAGAACGCAGCAAGGAGAGGCCCCCTACGCGGGCGCCTCATGCCCCTTGCGTCTGTGAATAGTCCCAGGGGCCCCTGTGTGGACAGAGTCCCAGCACCAGCCCAGACTCTGCCACCTGAGCGCCCTGGATCCACCTCGCCCCCACTGCGCTTCCAGACCCTGGCTAAGGAGGGGCTTGTGGAGCCGGGGCGGGGCCGGGGCCACGCCCATCCGCCTGTGGCCCGCGCAGTCCGGGTCCCTGTGGACTTGCCTTCTCCCCAGCGCGTGGGCGCGGCCGGCCCTGGAGAAGCTCCTCTGGCCCCGGCAGACCAGGAGGGCATGGGAGGTGGAACACCCGCCTCGCCGCCGCTGACCGCGCGCCCTCTCTCTCTCTCTGTCCCCAGCTGTGTGCCCTTCTCCATCTACTCGCCCTGGGGCGAGCGCTGCGAGCACCTGGGCGTCAAAGTCGGGGCCTTCTTGGGGATCCTCTTCGGGGCCCTAGGCGCGCTCCTGCTGCTGGCGATCGCCACGTTTGTGCTCCTGCGCCTCTGCGCCTGCGGCAGGGTCAAGTCCTCCTACCCTCTGGGCTTGGTGGGCTGAGGCCTCGCCCCGCGGGCTCGCCGCACGGAGCCATTGTTTTGGGGACACTGGAAAAGGGGAAATGACTGAAGGTCCATCGGGATCCTCGGAGCAGAATGAAGAAAGGGAAAAAAGACGAGACTACCTCGTCCAGAGCCACCAGCGCGCAGGCGCACTGAAACGGACGTGTTCTCACGCAGACATCCCCGCAAAGAGCACCCGGGCTTGCGCCTGTGCACGCGCAAGCCCGGTAGTGGGCTGGTGGCTTTAAGTTAACCAATACGACTTTGCACACAAAACTCTCTGGTTTACTTCTGATTAAAGTCTATTTAGATAAAGTCTGAGTTTTTGCGTCTCCAAATCATGAAATGAAGGTTACCCATTCCCAGCCGCCGGTGTGTGTGGAAGAGCCGGGCGGCTGGATCCAGTCCTACAGGCTCGGTTGCCGCATCCTGAGAAACCTCAGCGACTGCAACCGGGCAGGAGTCCTTGCAACCGCTGTGGGAACATGTATCCTGGATTTTATTCCCAATGCTTGCTCCCACGTGAGATAATACCAAGCAGTGCAATAATAAGAGCAGGGCTTATTGGAGGAGGGGCGCAGCATTGTGACACAGGAATCCCATATAAACTCCGATTCAAGTCCCGCTGGCTCCACTTCTCATCCAGCTCCCTGCTAATGTGCCTGGGAAAGCAACGGATGACAGCTCAGTTACTTGGGCCCCTGCTACTCATATGGGAGACCCAGATGGAGTTTCAGACTCTTGGTTTGATCCTGGCCCAGCCTGGACCTCTGTGGCCATTTGTGGGAGTGAACCAGCACACGGACGAGTTCTCTCTCTCTGAGCTCCCCCATCACTCTGCCATTCAAATACATAAATAAGCCTTTTGAGAGAGAGAATGCATTCACACGTGCGTGTGGCAACCCCACAAGGAAACACAAAGGCTGTAAGAGGGCCAGCGATGCCTATGACGGCAATGCAGGGGGGCGGGGGAAGCAAGGACCAACAGCCAGGGTGAGATGCCATTAAACAGGCCACTCCCGCATACAGTGTTTCCCTTTATGGCATATGGGCCTGTCCCCAACTGAATATACAAACGGGGTGGAGTTTAGGCGGGATTCAGTGTATGTGAGATTTTCTGGGAGTTTCATGGTGCCTCCGTGTGGGTTTTAACTTCCACGTGGCTATTATGGCATCTCCTTCCCAGTCCCGGATGAGATGCAGGTGCATCATGGGAAAGTGGGCATAGTGGATTGGCACGCAAGGGGTGGAGATACAGTTCAGGGTTGCAGAGACACAAGTTGTGAGGAAATATCCTGGCTCACTTATTCCTATCTAACCCCCTCCTTTGTGACCCCCATATCACTTCCACCTGTGTGTCACATTCTTCTCCCACTTCAACAAAGCCAAAGCTTAGCTCTCTGAAAAGGAAAGCAGAGAGTCCCCCACATGGAGGAATCTGTGTGTGTTTTTTATAATATTTATCTTCCATGACCTTTGATGATCTCTTACCCGTGTTAATTTCAAAAGTTTTTGCCTCTACTTATCTTTAAAAAAAAAAAAAAAGATGTATTTACTTGAAAGGCAGAGTTAGAGAGAAAGAGACAGAGGGAGAGGGGTCTTCCATGAGCTGGTTCACTCTCCCAGATGGCCACAATGGCCAGGACTGGGCCAGGCCAAAGACAGGAGCCAGGAACTTTTTCCTGGTATCCCATGTGGGTGCAGGGGCCCAAGGACCTGGGCCATCCTCCACTGCTTTCCCAGGCCATAGCAGAGAGCCGGATCAGAGTGGAGCAGCTGGGACTTGAACCGGTGCCATCTATAGGATACCAGCACTAAAGACGGTGGCTTCACAGGCTACGCTACAGTGCTGGCCCCTAAATTTATCTTTTAATTCCATTTTCCAGGACCTCTTTTGAAGTACTCTCATTTAATTTTTTCTGTTCTTTCCCGGACCCCAAAGTCCCTCAACCCTACTCTGTCTCCATTTGTTCCCAGAAACCTGATCAACTTCCATGTCATCCTTCTTTCTAAGCACCTACCTAGAGTAAAAACTCCAACAACACTGGGTCCACAACTCCTCTATCCAGACCACATCAAGTTCAACTCTACAGAAACTGAGTCGCCTCTTAAATCCCAAGTCCTTGAAGAGAGAATCTGATTCACTCAACTTATGTCCGTTGTCCATCCGCGGCCCAATTGTTGCAGGAACCTGCGGCTCTGTCAATTCTTTTTTGTCCATGGGCTTCATGTCTCTTGGTCATGAAAAATGAGGAGCCAGACAAGGAAGGATGTGTAAGGCAGAGTGGTTTATTAAAAAAAAAAGAACAAAATGAATGAGGAACAAACTCAACAGCACAGAGAAGAATCCCTCAGGGAAGCAAAAGTGAAGAAAAAACTCCCAGTGGCACTGAAAGGGACCCTAAAGGAGGGAGCTTTTTGAAGGTTGATTTCCTAGGGTTTTATAGGCGGTAAAAGGGGACATTTTCCGGGCTGGCATTGTGGCCTAGTGGGTAGAGCTTCTGCCTGGGACGCCAACATCCCATATGGGCACCAGTTTTTTGTCCTGGCTGCTCAACTTCTCCATCCCTCCTCTCTCTCCCTTCTCTCCCTCTCTCCCTCCATCTTAAAGATTTATTTATTTATTTTAAAGGCAGAAGGGGTTGGTGCTGTCACATAGTGGGTAAACTGGGGCCGGCACTGTGGCATAGTGGGTAAAGCCTGCAGTGCCCGCATACCATATGGGTGCTGGTTCTAGTCCCGGCTGCTCCACTTCCAATCCAGCTCTCTGCTATGACCTGGGAAAGCAGTAGAGGATGGCCCAAGTCCTTGGGCCCTTGCACCCTAGTGGGAGATGTGGAAGAAGCTCCTGGCTCCTGGCTTCGGATCGGCACAGCTCAGGCCATTGCAGCCATTTGGGGAGTGAACCAGGGGATGGAAGACCTCTCTCTCTCTCTCTACCTCTCCTCCTCTCTCTGTGTAACTCTTCCTTTCAAATAAAATAAAATAAAATACATTGTGGGATAAGCCGTGGCCTGCAGTGCCAGCATCCCATATGGGCGCTGGTTCAAGTCCCAGCTGCTCCACTTTCTTTTTTTAAAATTTTTATTTATTTGACAGATAGAGTTAGACAGTGAGAGAGAGAGAGAGAGAGAGAGAGAGAGAGAGACAAAAAGGTCTTCCTTCCATTGGTTCACCCCCAAAATGGTCGCTATAGCCAGAGCTACACCGATCTGAAGCCAAGAGCTAGGTGCTTCCTCCTGGTCTCCCACATGGGTGCAGGGACCCAAGCACTTGGGCCATCCTCCACTGCCTTCCCAGGCCACAGCAGAGAGCTGGACTAGAAGAGGAGCAACCAGGACTAGAACCTGGTGCCCTTATGGGATGCTGGTGCCGCAGGCTGAGGATTAACCAAGTGAGCCATGGTGCCGGCTGCTGCTTCACTTCCAATCCAGCTCTTTGCTATGGCCTGGGAGAGCAGTACAAGATGGCCCAAGTCCTTGAGCCCCTGCACAGGAATGGGAGACCCAGAAGAAGCTCTTGGCTCCTGGCTTCAGATCAGCACAGCTCTGGCCATTGCAGCTATTTGGGGAGTGAACCAGGGGATGGAAGACCCCTCTCTCTCTCTCCATATATATATGCCTCTGTAACTCTGCCTTTCTTTTTTCTTTTCTTTTTTAAAAAGATTTATTTATTTATTTAAAAGGCAGAGTTACAGAGAGGTAGAGGCAGAGAGAAAGAGAGCGAGAGAGAGAGAGCGCAAGAGTCTTCCATTTGCTGATTCACTCCCCAAATGGCTGCAATGGCCAGACCTGGACCGATCTGAAGCCAGGAGCTTCTTCCAGGTCTCCCATGTGGGTGCAGAGGCCCAAGGACTTAAGCCATCTTCTGCTGCTCTCCCAGGCCATAGCAGAGAGCTGGATTGGAAGTGGAGCAGCAGGAACTTGAACCGGCTCCCAAATGGGATGCCAGCACTGTAGGCGGTGGCTTTACCCACTATGCCACAGCGCTGGCCCCCTGCTCCACTTTTGATTCAGCTCCCTGCTAATGTGGCTGAGAAGGCAGCTGAAGATGGCCCAAGTGCTTGGACCTGCAACGGCATGAGAGTCCCAGATGAAGCTCCTGGCTCCTGCCTTCAGACTGGCCCAGCCCTGGCTTTTGTAGCCATCTGGAGAGTGGATCAGTGGATGAAAAATTTCTCTCCTTATCTCTCTGCCTTTGAAATACATAAATAAAATAACTAAATCATTAAAAGACATAGAAGGGGGTGGTTTTTAGCCCACACGGAATGTTCTCATGATGGGCCCAGGAAAGGGGTGGTTTTCAGTGGTTAGTCGGGTGATAGTTCAATCTAGACTCAACAGAAAACACATGAAACTTTCCCCCAACGAGAATAGAATCCTCATTACCTAGATAGGTTACAACAGCGCAGAAAAACTTTGGTCACAAGAGCTAGCACCTGATATTAACATCGCTGACAAGCTGGTCGCCAGGGGCCTACCCCTCTATCACAATCACGTGTGGTCACAGGGCTGAAAGGAGGTCCTGTGATACAAACTAGGCACTCGGGCCCCTCTCCTGAGTGGGTGAGTGACACTGGGAGAAGCATCCAGAGAAGCACCTGTGTCCACTTCACCTAGACAAGGACTCCTCCCAGCAGGTAAAGACCCTGCCTTACCCACAAGGCTATGGCTTTGCCCTCACAGGCCCCAGAGTCTAATCAAGACTATTTAAAGCCGTAGTCACAGCACATATCAAGAGCTAAACACACGGCCCTCGTGTGTGTGTTCACTAGTGAATTTTACCAAACATTTAAGGAAGAAATTATACCAATTCTCTACAATTTTTCTCCAGACAGTAGAAGTAGAGGGAGTCTTCCTAATTCATTAATCAATATCACCCTAACACCAAAAACAAAAACATGGCCGGTGCCACGGCTCAATAGACTAATCCTCCACCTGTGGCGCTGGCACACCGGGTTCTAGTCCTGGTCGGGGCGCCAGATTCTGTCCCAGTTGCTCCTCTTCCAGTCCAGCTTTCTGCTGTGGCCTGGGAGTGCAGTGGAGGATGGCCCAATTGCTAGGGCCCTGCACCTGCATGGGAAACCAGGAGGAAGCGCCTGGCTCTTGGCTTCGGATCAGCGAGGTGTGCCGGCTGCAGAGGCCATTGAGGGGTGAACCAACGGCAAAGGAAGACCTTTCTCTCTGTCTCTCTCTCACTGTCCACTCTGCCTGTCAAAAAAAAAATTACAAGAAGAGAAAACTATGGACCAATTTCTGTTATGAGCATAACTACAGATTCTCAACAAAATATTAGCAAATTGAATCCAACAAAATATATGT